TAACACACACAGAGACACAGACAGAGACACAGACAGAGCTCAGTTAGTCCACTGTACCCGTACAAGAGAGAGAGAGAGAGAAACCCAGTAGAGGGCCGATCTGTTAATGATCTGTCAGTCCCCCTGTGTGGGTGTGTATATGTGTGGGTGTGTATATGTGTGGGTGTGTATATGTGTGTGTGTGTGTGTGTGTGCATGTGTGTATACGTATGTTTATGTGTATATATGGGTGTGTATGTATGTATTTATGTATGTATGTGTGTGTGTGTGTGTATATATGTGTGTGTATGTATGGTGTATGTGTATGTATGTGTGTGTGTATATGTGTGTGGGTGTGTATGTATGTGTGTATTGTATGTATGTATATGTATGTGGATGTGTGTGTGGTGTATGTGTGTGTGTGTATGTGTGGTATGTGTGTGTGTATGTGTAGTGTATGTATACGATGTGTAAGTGCGACCCCAGTGCCCAGCGGGTGTTGTAGTTGTGGTTGGGGTTGTCCCAGTGCCCAGCGGGTGTTGTGGTTGGGGTTGTCCCAGTGCCCAGCGGGTGTTGTAGTTGTGGTTGGGGTTGTCCCAGTGCCCAGCGGGTGTTGTGGTTGGGGTTGTCCCAGTGCCCAGCGGGTGTTGTGGTTGTGCCCAGCGGGTGTTGTGGTTGGGGTTGTCCCAGTGCCCAGCGGGTGTTGTGGTTGTGGTTGTGGTTGTCCCAGTGCCCAGCGGGTGTTGTGGTTGTGCCCAGCGGGTGTTGTGGTTGGGGTTGTCCCAGTGCCCAGCGGGTGTTGTAGTTGTGGTTGGGGTTGTCCCAGTGCCCACCGGGTGTTGTGGTTGGGGTTGTCCCAGTGCCCAGCGGGTGTTGTGGTTGTGCCCAGCGGGTGTTGTGGTTGGGGTTGTCCCAGTGCCCAGCGGGTGTTGTGGTTGTGGTTGTCCCAGTGCCCAGCGGGTGTTGTGGTTGTGCCCAGCGGGTGTTGTGGTTGGGGTTGTCCCAGTGCCCAGCGGGTGTTGTGGTTGGGGTTGTCCCAGTGCCCAGCGGGTGTTGTGGTTGGGGTTGGGGTTGTCCCAGTGCCCAGCGGGTGTTGTGGTTGTGCCCAGCGGGTGTTGTGGTTGGGGTTGTCCCAGTGCCCAGCGGGTGTTGTGGTTGGGGTTGTCCCAGTGCCCAGCGGGTGTTGTGGTTGGGGTTGGGGTTGTCCCAGTGCCCAGCGGGTGTTGTGGTTGTGGTTGTGGTTGTCCCAGTGCCCAGCGGGTGTTGTGGTTGTGCCCAGCGGGTGTTGTGGTTGGGGTTGTCCCAGTGCCCAGCGGGTGTTGTGGTTGGGGTTGTCCCAGTGCCCAGCGGGTGTTGTGGTTGGGGTTGGGGTTGTCCCAGTGCCCAGCGGGTGTTGTGGTTGTGGTTGGGGTTGTCCCAGTGCCCAGCGGGTGTTGTGGTTGTGCCCAGCGGGTGTTGTGGTTGGGGTTGTCCCAGTGCCCAGCGGGTGTTGTGCCCAGCCCTGCCCCCGGCTGACAGTCAGCGCTTCACTGACAAGAGACAAACTGAGCAGCAAAAGCCTCAAACACTCAACACAGCATCCACTCCCCGTGTGCGGGGGGTTCGGGTCCCGAGCCAGCGATGGTGGCGAGAGAGGAGCTGAGCGGAGCTGCGGGGGGAGAGGGGGTGGGAGCCTCCGGGGCTTTGGGGGGTTTGAAATCAATCGGGTGTTTGAAGAGTTTGAGGACCGCCTGTGGCTGCTCACTGCCGGATACTGGTGTAGAGGAGCCTGTGATCTGCTGCTCAGCTCAGCTCTGCCCACCAACCCCAACCCAATGGCTTACGTTGACCTGTCCATGACACAGTCCAGCTCTAGTGTGTAACCCCACACAGACCAACATCCAAACCCCACACAGACCAACATCCAAACCCCACACAGACCAACATCCAAACCCCACACAGACCAACATCCAAACCCAGCACAGACCAACATCCAAACCCCACACAGACCAACATCCAAACCCCACACAGACCAACATCCAAACCCCACACAGACCAACATCCAAACCCCACACAGACCAACATCCAAACCCAGCACAGACCAACATCCAAACCCCACACAGACCAACATCCAAACCCCACACAGACCAACATCAAACCCAGCACAGACCAACATCCAAACCCCGCACAGACCAACATCAAACCCAGCACAGACCAACATCAAACCCAGCACAGACCAACATCCAAACCCAGCACAGACCAACATCCAAACCCAGCACAGACCAACATCCAAACCCAGTACAGACCAACATCCAAACCCCACACAGACCAACATCCAAACCCAGTACAGACCAACATCCAAACCCCGCACAGACCAACATCCAAACCCAGTACAGACCAACATCCAAACCCCACACAGACCAACATCCAAACCCCGCACAGACCAACATCCAAACCCCGCACAGACCAACATCCAAACCCCACACAGACCAACATCCAAACCCCACACAGACCAACATCCAAACCCCACACAGACCAACATCCAAACCCAGTACAGACCAACATCCAAACCCCGCACAGACCAACATCCAAACCCAGTACAGACCAACATCCAAACCCCACACAGACCAACATCCAAACCCCGCACAGACCAACATCAAACCCAGCACAGACCAACATCCAAACCCCGCACAGACCAACATCAAACCCAGCACAGACCAACATCAAACCCAGCACAGACCAACATCCAAACCCAGCACAGACCAACATCCAAACCCAGCACAGACCGAGACTCAAACCAGCAAGCTTCTGATGGGTGACACGAACACTCCAAGACACTACCTTGGTGCCAATATAAATTCAGGTTGTTGGTGTAAGTTATGGCTTTTTTTTTTCGTAATTGATAGAAACGCATAGACTCGGTAAGACTAAAAGTCTTGACAGGAACACGCTCAATCCACCAATCTTTGAGGAGAAAGAGGAAACAATTGATGGAAGGCACAAGTACAAGTTTAACTGCAATGTACCTGAAGTTTTTATTTAACAGCCATAAAAAAAAAAACTTTGACTTTTAGTCATTGACAGGTTTATTACATTGTTCTGTTAATAAATCAGTTACCTATGCAAAACAAAATAATGCCAACTGTTGGAAACCATGTACTGGCTCATGTTCATTACATAAGCATGAAAAGAAAACAAAAGTGCATAAGTGGATACAGAAACTGAATCGTTTGACAATTCAAGAATTACAAAACAATCTACAACAGTTTTACATTAACACTTACAACAGAACATTTGTCAAAATTGGTCAGAATAAATTTTCTACTTCACCCAAATCTGTGAAATGCTTCGAGACGACTCAAAGACGTGATAAGGCGCTATATCAAATGCAAGTATTATTATTATATCAGCCTTGTTTAACTAGTCTCAGAATTTTCTTTTTATTTCATACATCCTTGCAGCCTCTGTGCAAGATTGCCAATTAATACCTAATCTTCCAGTCTCACTAATGAGCCAGAGGGGCTAACTGTCCATTACAATGTCTTGGCTTCTGGTTTAGAAGGTTGTGATTTAAAGCAGAATGTTGAAACTCGAGCTCATAGTCTTGGGGAAGTCTGGGGAAGCATTGCATGGAACTGGGATCCCGTCTGCCTGTTGGTCAGGTGGACATTAAAAATTCCGTGGCACTATTCGAAAAGAGAAGGGAGTTTCGCCAGGTATTCTAGTTAAAATGTCCAGATTACCAGGTCATTCACTTCTTGGCTGTTTGTAGGACTCAGCTGCACCCAAAATAGCTGTCACATTTGCCTACAAAAACAGTCACTGTACTTAACCGTAATTACTGTAAATCACATTGAGATGTTTCAATGAAGCACTAATAAAAATGCTTTACTTTTTTCTTGACTTACGATAGGCATTTTACCCATAGAATACAGTCAATTCACTTTGCAGTATATTCTGTGAAGCGCTTTGAGACGTCTCGAAGACATGATAAGGTGCTGTATCAAATGCAAGGATTATTATTATTATTATTAGACCTATCTGGCCTGTTCAACCAAGAGAGATTCCTCTTACTTCACCCAAGGTATTTTCATAAGCATTTGAAATCATCCATAAAAGGCTGAGTGAAATCATCAAGATTTTAATCTAGAGCATTCTAACCCTAACTCCGTGGCTTAACTGACAGGATGTTAGAGAACAACAGAAATTAAAGCACAGGAGTAAGTCATTTGGCTCATAGCGTCTGCGCTAGAGATAGCTCCGCATCGAAGCTATCCAATCGTGTACATAACAGTACATGACAGGGAACTGCTTGTGCAGTGTTTCAGGGAGGCAACATTGAGTTTGAGTTTATACATGCGTATACATGAATATTAAGATCATTTTGTGCTCAAATTTAAGATGGCCCAAATTGTGTTAAACTCTTAAACTTTTTTTAAGGGGGGGGGGGGGGGGAGTGTCAATGAACAGAATACAACTTTGAAACAGTAGGTCTCGCTGAATAACAATTTCTGTGGAATGCAAATGGAGCTTAAGTACTGGCCATCAGCAATCCTACCCTTTAATAGAACATACAAGGTTTGGACAGTTCTCATATAACTACAAATTTACTTGGACAATGCAATGCTTGGGCAGAATTGGAACTGGAAATAAGAAACAGCTGCTCCCAATTCTGTAACACGCCACTGACAATTAACACATGTAAGTGAAGCAAGATATTCTTTCCATTTTGATTCACAACTGAATTGTTCATTTAGTTTCTCAATTTAGCTTTTCAAATAAAGAAAAATATTTCTGCAAGATCTCCGCACAAAAAAACTACTTTAGATTATCTGAACACACAAAGTATATTTCATTACTATAATTAAACAGCCAGCCTGTGGTGAGGCTATTTTTCTTCAGTGTTATCTGAAAGACACTGCTGTGTGCAATTGGCTGCTGCGTTTCGCCCACAAAATATACAGTCAGTTCACTTTGAAGTATTTTCTGTGAAGAACATTGAGACATCTCAACGTGATAAGGCACTGTATCAAATGCAGCGATTAAATTAAATTAAACATAAATTCAATCTTTCTTTTTCAGATGTTGATTGAACTGCTGTGGATTTCTTGCATTTGTTTTATTTCAGGCTTCCAGTATTCGCTGTTTTTCTTTTTGCTTTCAGAGTTGCAGGTCTTTGGGTTATGCAGTAATTTCAGCTTTCCAGAAACGTCATTAACTCCCTTTGATGTGGTTGGGTCTGTTTTGAAGTGGATTGGCTAATAAATTCGATCTCCAGTGAACTGAAGCTTCTGGGTTTCATTTGTGGCTCTTTCATGATTATCAAACATAAAAAAGGCATAAATTAATTTGTTGCTCATTGACGATGTTCAAACATGCTGTAACTATTATATTTTGAAATATTTAGAAAGCACCACATGATGTTGAGATCACCAGTTTCCAGGTGTTTGCTGATCCTACTCCCTAATTAGGTGCCAGAAACTATGCACGTGGCACTCAGAGACTTGCTCTCCAAGTTTCTCCCATTTACCTCTGTGTACAGTACAATGCTCAGCCTCTACTTAGTGTCACCACATGATGGTACAGTCAAGATAAGAGAATTACCAATGCAGAATGACTAGGGAAAGTCTCTAGTTCGGAGTAGTTGTCCTGCTTCTCAGTTTAATGCTTTTAAATGGTAATTGTGCCCATAGATGCAAAGAATCCATAGAAAAATAAAAGTGCAACTGGCATAAATGATTGGATTCTACCTCCAAATAAGATTCATAACATTCAAAGTTAGTTTGGCAAAAGTTCTAATTAGAATTTTGATTTGAATCCAGGCCTTTTAAAGATCAGATTACGTCTTAAATATATAATGCAAGCTATGAAAAGTAGTCATCTCTGGTTACTTTCCACTGGGCAGTTGTCTGTGGAATGCAACCAGTCAAGAGGGGAAATAATGTAGATTATAAATGTCGATTGACATCTACATTTTTTCATTGAGAATGTTTGGAATACCTTTCCCTGTAGTTATTTATCTCTTGCAGGTAAACAAATACATTTTAGTCAGATTATGATAATATAAACCTAGTCTGTCAGAAGAATGCTTTCCATTCTAGGAAATTATTAAAATTGTGCCCAACTTCAAGCTTCCCTATTAATTTAATTACCAAACAATGTAACAGATGGCCACTACACAAAATTCTTATTTGCTGTAATATATCACTGTTTTTCATTAAAATCATCAGATTTCAATGAAACAATAACAACTTGCATTTATATAGCACCCTTCCTAAGGGGTAGCATCAGAGTGCCTGGCCTGAAATTGCTAGTGTATTTGTATTCTTCCAGTGAATATTTGTGGAAATCCTCCCATTAAACCGGATAATACTACACAAAAGAAAATGCATCTATGCAACTGAAAATATGTTTGAATTCAATAATATTGTTAATTTCATGAAAACCTTTATCCAATGCATTTTACCCTTCAAATTTGTAAGCTCAAATTCTTGGTCCGGCATTTTTATTCATGAATGCTGCAAGTTGCTGCTTGATCTCTTCCACCTACGAATAAAAGTACAATTGTTATTGAACCGTTAAAGAAAATTCACTGAACTAGGTCACACACTCCCAACATTGATTTTACCATAAATCTGTAATAAGAATTTTTTCATTCCATTCAAGATCTCCACAAACCAGAATTAAAGGTCATATGGGGTTTGGGTCAGAAGTCAAGATTCATAGCTTGAATTATTGTTCAATTGATTATGTTTGAGGTGCAAGAGAAACTTTGAGAACATTTTCTTTTGGGTGACTTGTATTGTTAGTCACACTTGCACAACTGTAAAGAAATAGTGAGAGTGGGGTTGTGAGGATAATGGCTTTTAAAATTGTGCTCTAATAATGTCCATTTGTGTGCTTTACAATGTACATCAGCAAATACATGCAACAACAAATCACAATTATCTTGCGCCCTTCAAGTGGTGTAGCATTTGAGCATTACATGCAGTCACTGATTCAGTGGAAAATAAATTTCTGCGTAGAAAGTATCGAATGAAGTAATTAGATATAGAAATGTTTGTAAATCCAATATATTAAGTTTTGTTACAAACCAATAGAACTCAGACTTACAGTTTTTTGAATTTCTCTGCAACAGCATTTTCTGTGACCCTGGGCTGCAAGAAATAAAGGAAAACCCTGATTTCTCTGACCAAATATAGATGCCTCCTAGTGAAATCAGAGGCCATCAGTAGGATTATTAAATATCACATGCTTAAAGCGAATTGAGATCAACATCAATCAATCAAGATTAGGGCTCAATGTACTATTTATTTTAGTAATTCTGACATTCAGCTTTTACTTAATTGCGCATTCATGAACTTGAATTTACATATGGTTGCTTTTTAACTATCTGCATCAGAATTTTCTGACAGGACTTGTAACTTGCATTGAATGAGTCCTGTCAATACAGAAAGAACAACTTATGGAGTGAAAGGTGCGATAAATGTAAAAAGTCCCTAGGACACCATGCAAACTTTCCCTATTTCCTTACCTTCCTGGTGCGACTGAAATATTGAAGGCTAAAGGGAATTAGTGAAAGTCTTCAAAGTTTTGAAGATTATTTAGAAGCAAATAGTGAGCTTCCCACTGGTTAGTAAATCAACAAACAGGATATAACTTTTTTTATTAAGAAACAAGGCCACCAATATCATCCTTTACCTTTGTTGACTGCTGGACTCCATGAGTACTGGTCACAAAACAATACCTTGTCCAAGTAAACCACTCGTTATATGTGAGCCTTAATAGCAAGTGTCATTAAGATCAATTCCTATTTGCACAATCCTCCAACGGTGATTTCTGGATTATCTAGAGTGGAAACTAGAAACTCTTATTTTCCACCTCTCAAACCTAACGCTAGGGCTGGTGAAGTCAATTGCATTGGAACTGGAGCCCTGCCCAAGAACAGTTAACTCAGCACGTGTCAGGATTCAAACCTGTAACCATCTGTTTGTACCCTGTACTGATCAATCCGTTTACCCTCTCCAGGCTATAAACTGAGATGAAGCCAACAGTTGAATGCTATGTACCAGAAAGTTACAGGGCAGCCTACCTGCTCTATATGAACAGGAAAAGGTTTGAAAAGTACCACTGTTGGTATTATACTTATCCAGACAGCTGGCCCATTTCAATTATCATCTCTTTGTTCTGAATTATAGTAGTTAATATTCAACAAGACAACAGTTGTAATTTGTAGCATGAAACGCTAAAACACAGGAGGGAGACAGATAATTCAAAGGTTTTAAATTTCTCGAAATCAAACGATCAAACCCAAATCCAGTTTATATTTTGCAGAACCTCTGCAAGTTAATAAATATATAAAATAGGCTCTTAAATTTTGATAGGAGCAAAGCATGTTCACAAAGAAGTGTTTGGCTTTAAAGTCAGAGGTCCAATTCAAGATTTACAATGGCCTGACTGATAGATTGCCAATACACAGATGTTTGAAAGTGTAAGCACAGATAGAAAGCGCTTTAAAAAGACAAATTAGATTCTGTGTTTTGGCATTCAATACAAAAATCAAGGGATTGATGTTAAATTTCTAGGCAAAAGGACACGGTGCAAATAAATAGATACCGGGGGGAGTGCTTACAGTTCTGAGGATATTCTTGACAAACTGGATCAGTTTTCACTAAGTTGAGAGGATCTAAAATCCTAAAAGGTTTCAGAATAGATAAAGCTTATTCATGCTAGTCGGTGAGGAGCAGCAGCTCAGAAGACTTAAGGGATAGGTTGGAAGAAACTTTTTACAGAATAATTAGAGCAGAAACTCTGCCTACGTTATGTGAGCTGACTTCACAACAGCAACAAAGTACATTTGTATAGCGGCTTTCACCTCGGAAGGACATTCCTACGCTCCCCTGACAGCCATAGTCACTTTCTAGCCAAATAATAATCAGAGAGAAAATAAACAGGCTGATTTTCTCGCCCCCAGCCCAGCAGTTACCAACCTGTTCCAGAGGCATTGCCAGCATGACTCTCCTGTTGATTTTCTGTGTAACAGTGGGAGATAATTGAGATTTGGCACAATGGCTGCCCCTGGCATCACAATGAAATCAGGAATGACCTAATTTGGGAATTAGACAAAATTCCCATCCAAACTGAAGTCATTATTTTCTCAAAAACATTCACAAAGTAATATGCAAAGTCACTTTTAACATTAGAACTTTTATCCTAAATAAAAAAAATTACATTTGTACAGCGCCTTTCACGTCGGGATGACGTCAAATAAAATAGTTACCCAAACCATTAAACAAATACCTGCTGCTGGTTTGGTTACTCTCTGGTCAGTGTATTTTGCCAGGCCTTCCAATACCAATTTATCAGCTATATTAATAGCAGTGTCTTCAAGATGTCCAATCAGATTAACCACGTGGATGTTTCCATCAAACCCTCTGACTGTTGCAAGAACAACTTTATCCAGCAAAAGATTTCTGAACAAGTCGCTGGCGGCAGAAGACCAGGCTTCACCTTCCGGTTCAACACCTGAATGATACAAGTAGAGTTCCATTGAAACAAGTGTAAAAATGTTTTATATATTTGTATGTCAAAGTATGAAGTGAGGCAAGCCATTCTCAAGGCACTTTATAAGTTAGTAAACCCAGGGGATGTCCTGGCAGAGATAATAGCAATCCATTATGATAGTAATGCAATATGTGATTCATTGACCATTTAGCAAATCATTGTTTTACAGTGATTTTACTTTCAATTTTGTTTGAAACAAATTACCCTAAAGAATTAGAATAGGCCAAACACTACATGCACTCACACAATGAAAATTGGTCAACTCCACGTATGGAAGAGGAAAAAAACGATGACTTCTTGATTCAGGTGGAGGAGAGACTGCTTCTTTGCCAGGATAGCAGGAAGCATTCAAAACTGAAGCAAGATAACCATCCATACTGAATCCTCTCACTTCCCCTCTTAAAATGCCTCCACCAACCCCCCACTCCACCCACTCCTCGCTGCTGTTTTGCCTTTCCAACGTGAATTGGGGAACAGAACAAAAGCCCGGATGGTGAGCTCGCTGAGGCTTAATGACAATTTGGATAAAGTCAGGAAAGTCAATGGATCCAGAACTCCAACAACAAAGCAATAGCTTTAATTATACCTATTAGCACAATCGATCCACCTATTACTGCTGGCTAAGGTATCCACCACTTGAGTCATCTTAAGTTTCTTTGATAAAGTATGGGTTATACATATCAGAACAAATACCTCCTTTAGGTCTTTAGGATGGGAATCCTTTGAGGAAGTTTTGAGATGCTGATGCCGTCCATAATAATAAATTTATTTTAGATACACCAAGATATTTGGATTGCTAATATTAATATTTAATGAATGCAGCAACATGGCGTGTAAGGTATTTCACAAATGTAATTACCTGAAAGTGTACACTTTGCCACTTGAAATGGGAGTTCCAAAAGACTGAGTTTAATATTTTGGATATTTGCAAGCGAGACAGCTTCCACAACGCCATAATCTGCACAGATCACTTTCACTGCAGATTGAGAGCAATTCAGCACAACTGCACGGCGCCAACTATCATCAGCTAAAAGGTAAAAATATTCATCCTTTAAGTATTCATCTTCTATGATGTTAAGATATCAGCCTTATATTAAATGCAATAATTGCAGCTTAGTTCAATGGGACAACATCAAACATTAAAACCAGTTCATCCATTTCAATAGATTGTTCATAATAATAATTCACGAATCACTACAAGAAAACTCAGATGTTTCTTACACTGATGCACTGGAGCTGCTCAGTTACTTCCCTTCTGCCCACTTTGTGCTCATCAGATTAGGGTTCCAACAAATCAGAGACATATCCCTCAACTTGGATTATGCACTTTTCACATCAGATAACATTTCAAAATGCTTCATCAACAGAACAACAAATTACATTTACGCAGTGCCTTTCACGGTCAGGAGCACATCGCAAGGGCCTGGACAGTCAGGGATATGGACACGAGCTGGGGGTTGGGATCAGGTAGGGTGGAATACAGAAAGGGTAGGAGGGTGAGCGAAGGCGCAGCGTGAGTGGAGAGTCTGGATAGCATGCAAAGCTGTGTCTTCAAAAGGAGAGACAAAACAAATTACTCAGTTTTATAATTCACGAAAAATATAATATTCAATTTCCACTACAGATTTTTTGAAGATGGCAGCCGGACATAATTTGGTCAAACAAGCAGCTCTCACAAGGCATAATGGTGAATATTTAAGGACTTTTAACAAATGCAATTTTTTTTAAACAAACACAACCTACTCAAACAAACAAAGACAACAATGAGAAATGCTGGATTAACCACTTTAATTTACAAGCGACATCTTTCTAACTCACTAGAGCAATAATATTCTGCTGTTCCCAATGCATGCCATCTCTACACAAACAGCATTAGTAATGAGTCACACCAAGTACGACAAATTCGTTTTATGAAGGTTTTAAATAAGTAGTGGAGGACTTATGAATGCGCTTGCATCTCAACACCAGAATTTCTTTCAATAGAAGAAATAGAAAATAAACAGAGCATCAAGATAATTCACAGGACAGTTCAGATAAAGAAAGCCTGTTGGTCCATTTGATCTCATTCTTCCAGAATACCCAACCTACATCACAGCATCAAGATTTTTTTTAATAAATAAAATATATGAGCCCAACATTCTGGCAACGTTAACACTATATACAGAATTAAAACAATAATGAGCGAGTAAGAATCTACTTTAATTTTTAGGGTGTGTTCTGGTAGAAGGAAGTTCAATAAGAAATGCACTTTTCCAGGCAAATCAAAACCTCTCACAATCTTTAAAAAGTTAAATTGAGAAGTTTATGCAATATTGGATTAGTGTTCTTGATAATGGAATAATAAGGATATGCAAGCCACAGGAACTGAAAGTTAAGTAGTCGAGTAACCATAGACTAGTAAGTAGTAAGATTGGGTTCATTCTCAAAATATCACGGGGAAAACCATTCTGTACGACATTATAAACTTTTTAAAGACCTCGTAAAGACCCACATTACCACCATAAGTGCCAGTTCTATGCTTGTAACCCTTCCTCAATATGAGATTTATTGTGAGGTTTTAGTCAGTTTTGCATGATAAAATACAAACACAAAAAGATGTGCTGTTTTCTTAATATTATACCTGTAATTCCTGCAAATGGCACTTAAGTTTTTGCCCAACTGTAATAATTATTTCATGCACAAATTTGTCACATCTGCTTACCATACATTGCTACTTTAAAATAAAGCAAGTATGCTGAATGTCTGCATGTGAACATCTGTAACCGAAAACCACCATAATTCTTGTAGTTTACAAGCTACCTTCATGTTCAATCACACCAATATTCAAGTAACAACCTGGACAGGATTGTGATTTATCAGCTACACACATACTGTATTTATGAACAGCTGTTCTGAAAATAAGATATTAACAATCCATACCAACCTTTCCAAAATTTGGCCTAGAAAAGAATGCAATTTCTACAGTTTTTCACTATAGACTTAGTTACAACCTTTAGACTTCACCTGTTCAGTATAATGGACTGCAGTTTGTCAAAGAACCAATTGGCCAAATAAGGCATTTCAGAAGATAAGAAAATGGGAATCACAACACAAACCTGTTCCTGGTAACAATCACATCCACATTCAAACATACCCAATGCAAAATAGTGCTACCTCTTCCACATTAAACATGTAATTTTCACTGTAAAACTATACAGAATTGAAAAAAAACAGGCAGCCACCATTATTGGTGAACAGCGTCCCAAATCATCCCAAGTTAACAAACATGTATTGTTTACCTGTAAACCTTGCACAACAAGCCTCACCAACCTCAGGCATGAAGGTGAAATTTTCTGGTTGAGCTCCACAATGTTCAGCCAGGTCTGCTTTCAGCAAGTATAACTTCTGCACATCTGCTACAGAATGGAGGGGGGGGGGAGATGATGACTAAAATATTAGTTTTATAGTTTGTAGTAAAACAAATTATCAGAAAAAAAGGGCAGAATAATGCAGTTATTAGGGTTACAAAAGATAATTCCTGGATAATGATTCTTTCACCACCTGCTCTAACAAAGCTCTTATGTGTCACTCTTTCTACTAAAAACACTTACATGCAGTGATCTCGTCCACAAAATAAACAGTCAATTCACTTTACAGTATATTCTGTGAAGGTATGAGATGTCTCAAAGACTTTATAAGGTGTTATATCAAATGCAAGGATTATGTGATATATTACATACCCTTTAATGGAACATCATTCATCCTTATGTCCATGAAAAGGACAATTATGGCCAAATATAATAATGGGATTTGTAGCACAATCCAATTCAGATTGGAAAGACTGAGAATACATGTAGTGAGTTTTAATTATTACTCAACTGCCCGCAACCTAAGATTCTACTTTAACAAAGATAATATGTTTCAAACACTTGCATTGAAGTGAGGGAAGGCTACAAAAAGCAGAAGAAACGGTATTTTTAAAAATAAGACTGGAAACATTGATAACAAAACTATTTTTGTGGGAGGATAAATGAGCACAGAGGTTATTAGCAGTCAGTTTAAAATCTTTTCAAGAAAATAAAAAACATTTAGAAGAAAAAAAAACGCAAAAATCCCAAATAGCTACTCAGACCAGTTTTGCAGGTAACCTGCACTTCAAGTACTTAACATAATAAAAGGAACAGAAAAGTAACACTGTCTTTTCAGGAATTTAAACTACAAGAGAAAAGGTAATCACAACGAATACCAAGCAAAAGTTTTAACAAAGAAAATTGGGTGCATTTATGCTTACATTATTTAGAAATTGAGAAAATACAGTGAATTTTGAGAATAAAGACTACGATGGATACAATACCTTTAGCTTCTATAATCTGGACGTAGAAATTGCCAGGATTTATTATTTCTTTCACTTTAACCGGAACAGTGCTGTTCAGAGGCATTTCTGCCGGATTCCATAGGTTCCCAAACAGGTTTCCTTGCAAGGAGTACAAATAAAAACTTAGGCAAAGTATTCCGTGTGTAAAACAGAATGCCTTCAGAGCTGATAAAAGTTTAATGTAGCTACTATTCTGGAAACTAAACACGAGGGTAGAAATAGAGGCAAATGCTTCTTAGCAGAGTCAAAATGTAAGTCAAAAATAAAACTTAAGTACATTACATTTCAGTATCACTTTATTTTGAAACATTTTAAAAGTGAAGTTAACTCTCTAGGTAGTGAAAGACTAATATGAGGGACGGAAGGAATAAGACAGATAAAACTCAAGCACAGAAGAGCAAAGGTGAATAAATAGTTCAGATTTAGCTACTTTACAGAGAGCGCAGAATATGTAGGATTCTGATTTCTCAAAACTACTACTTACTTCCCACCTGTAATCCAGTATTGTTGATCTCCAACCTGGGAGCAGTTAGCTCTTCCTCCATTCCAACAGCTAATCCTGCTGCAATCAAGCGCTCACGAATATTAACAAACGGATAAATAGTGTCATCTTTAAGATCCACAACTAAGAGGTTTTCTCTCTTCTGTACACTCTTGGCTTTCAAACACTTATTCATCACTAGGGTTTTCATCATGACTACTGCTTCCAAGGACCAAGTACCCTGCACTGGCTTCACACCTGGGGAAACAGATGACATACAAAGGTACAACAACGGGCAACTAGGATTTTAAATTCAGTCTTTTAAATAGTTAAATACAATATAGATCAATATTGATTCACTCTGATTATATCAATTCTAACACAACACATTTTCCATATACAATCTCAATATTTTACCATAAACCTGGGTCTAAGGTTACAGCTGGGCCATTTGAAATCCAACAAAGAAAGGTTTTTCAGCAAATAATGTCTGAATGGATTTGGCTTTAGAAGACAGAATAGGAATAACCTACATAATATTCTACTTTCAAAATTTCAACCATTGTGATAAGAATTCTTCAGAATGCAATCAAACTATTATTTAAAGGATAGATTAACCGACATTCTAAACAATTATAATCCTTGCATTTGATATTAGTGTCTTATCACGTCTTCGAGGCGTCTCGAACGACTGCAACCAAGAAAGTATTTCTTATCCTAAACAAGTTTTATATTCACATGCAAATAAGCTTCCTCAAATTTATTTTAAAAAGCAAAAATTTTGTCACAGATTACGTACTCACCTGCCAAAGCACACTTTAACGCCTGATTCGGCAACTCCAATAACTGTTCTTGGGCAGGCCGGAGACGGTTTAGATCAAGTTTTTCAACATTGCCAAAATCAACATAACCCACCAAGGCTGTGTCATCAGGAAGGTAAACTATCACTGCAGCCCTGTACCATTGGTTATCATCTATAAGAATAAGACAAGAATATCTCTGAACCAAAAATGATTATATGCCCCATTTTGTGCAGCTGCTGTTTCATTTATGCAATATGAAGAATAATAAAATTGCAACGTTGGTTATCTGTAGTGCATTATTATATTATACGAATCAGGGTAGGACATCTATAAACAGGTAATCAGTTTTTCTTACCAGTGAACTGAGCACAGCAAACTTCCCCAACTGCAGGCCTAAAACTTGGTACAGGAGGCATATTACTGCAATATTTAGCCACTCCTTTCTGCAGTTGTAGAAACTCATCTGTTTGATAAACAAAGAATATTTCCATCACAATGCAAAATAAATGCATTTTAACTGCTGCAAATTTGACACTATTTAACAGTAGGTACCATTATGTGTACTGATTGAGTATTTATAGATGAACGTGGCTGCTAATTTATGTGCAGCAATGTCCCACAAAAAGCCAGGAGGTGAATGATCAATTTAACAAGAGGATTTTTTTCTTTTTAATAGTGTCATGGGTTCTTTAACGTCCATCTGAATATACAGACGGAACCTCGGATTAACATTTCATCCAAAGGACAACACTCCAACAATGCAGTGCTCTTCCACACTTTCTCAACAGCTACGCTTTTCACTTCATGGCAATACTTGAACACAACTCGTCAGCGCTTAGCTTTTCCTGTAGAGCACATTCTGCATTACATTTAAAAAAAACATATTTCTGAATATTATGTTAAATGTGAATATCTTAAGCTTGGGAAAGAGGCAAAGGGTGTAACGGTGAACTGGGGATAGGTGTTTGCAGTTCTACAACAAATTGACCATTTAACTGCAGGCAATAGAATACTAATTGGAATCCACAAAACCTTGGAATCTCGTGTATCCAACTAATCAATAATAAATAATAATCCTCACATTTGATATAGTGCTTTTCACGTCTTCTAGTTATCTCAAAGCGCTTCACAGAATATACTGTAAAATTAATTGACCGTATATTTGTGGGCGAAACGCGGCAGCCAACTGCGCACAGCAGCGTCCCACAAACAGTCGTGGATTGAAAATGACCAATTTATTATTGTTTTGGAGGGATTATTGTTAGGCGTGTGGAGTAAGGAAACTTGCCCAAGGTTTCGCCCTGCCTTGTGGGGTGCACATCCACAGATATGAAGAGACATCAAGGGACTATGTTATAAGGAGGCACATGGTCAAGATGCCTACCTTGACGTTACTTCCTGCCCAGGAAATGAAGTTAAGAACAACCATCTTTACTATGCTCCTACCCTACAATGCAGGGATACGCCATACCCACCCCTCCAATGAACATCAACACGAGGACTTCTTCAATGGTCTAGACTGTAGGTAAACTCTCAACAAAAATCTCAGTTAGCGATAACAGAGATTACATTCATTAATAGTGTGATGTAAAAGTTCAGGAACCATTATTTGGGGAGGATAAGTTTGCAGGGCTATGCAAACGGGGGAGTGGAGTTGATTTGGATAGCTCTGTTCAAAGAGCTGCCACAGACACAATGAGCCGAGTGGCCTCCTTCTGTGCTGTATAATTCTATGATTATTTAACAGCACCTTGCTTATCCTTACTGTCTGGGCTGAACTTGTCTGATAAGATTTAGAAGGGAAGTTTTAAAAAATAATGATTCTTACATCTACTGACAAGTTGCTGACAGAAGAAGTTGTCTGGAGTTTCTATATGTGACACGATGATAAACATGTCTTCATCACAAGAGGAATTAATTGAAGTTGTTTGCAACTGCAATTTGTCATCACTTCCAATTTTTGTGCTGCTATAGTTTAGACTGAGGTTGTCCCAAGCTTTGTCCAAGGTTTCCACTGTAAAAAGTAAACGATTGTTAAAATATGGTGTCTTAATTATTGAAGTGTGCAGTTTTGGTCTCCTTTTTTAAGGAAGGATGTACTTGCCTTGGAGGGGGTGCAGCGTAGATTTACTAGGTTAGTGCCAGGGATGAAGGGGATGAGTTACGAGGGGGATGAGTTACGAGGATAGGCTGACCAATTTGGGCCTACATTCTCTAGAATATAGAAGAATTAGAGGGGATCTTATAGAAACCTATAAGATCATCAAAGGGCATGATAGAGTAGATAGTGGGAGATCGTTTCCCCGGTTGGAGAAAGTAAAACCAGGGGTCACAACCTTAAAATCAGAGGCAGCCCTTTTGCACTGAGTTGAGGAAGAACTTCTTCACTCAAACGGTGGTGAATATATGGAACTCACTACCCCAAAGGGCTGTTGACGCTCAGTCCTTGAACATATTCAAGACTGAGATAGATAGATTTCTTATTGCAAAAGGGATTAAGGGATATGAGGATAAGGCAGGGTCAGGTTATTAGCTGGAGTTAGATTAGAAGATCAGCCATGATTGAATGGTGGGGCAGGCTCGAAGGGCCGAATGGCCTACTCCTGCTTCTATATGTTATGTTATGAAGTACAGTAACAGCTTCTGCTAGTCAATGAAAGGACAAGTAGATAAATTTTCTTATGGATTAGCTACTGTGTAATTCTGTGTTCTTACCAGAACTTCTGTGCTATTTTCATCAACTTGAGTTGCAGCATACCTTTTTTCTAAAATATACTTCTGCAAAGACTGCCCTGCAATACAATTTAAAAGGTTGTATAAATATATCCACATACCTTTATAAGGTGCATTAAACATTCATTTGACGTTGCTAATCAAAGTGAAATGAACAGTTCAATGACTGGAACTGTGTTGCAATGAAGACAGAGGTTTAAGGGGTGGGCACAGGAAGAGAGGCTGTTACCAGAAGGCAGTTCCACATCCACAGCAAAGCAAGACCCATCATCCAGCTTTTCAACAATAGTCATGCAGCACGTTTTCTGTAGAACCTCGAGCTTGATAGATGTGATGCACTCTTCAGACCAACTATTATGACTTGGGATATTTGCAACACAACACTTCATTGCCTGTGGGCATACAATGTTACAAATGTTTTATTCACAATATAAAATATAAAAATATCAAGCTACCAAAGGCAGTGCAGTGCCAACATATGACATCATAAAAAAACCAGCTTTGTCTCACTGCTCCTGGCCAAGAGCAAGTATTGTTTAATGCCGTTCTTCAGGTTGGTTAGGTTTAGTCAAGTCTGTAATATGATAGTTACTAAATTTATACTCACTAAGGTCAGTACACCCTTTGTGAAAATGACTTTCATGCAGGAGTACTTTTCATTCAATTCAATGAGCTTATATTCTAGGCTAACACACCAACACAATGGTGGGAGAGCACTGTATTGTCTGAGGTGTCTGTTCAGACAGACGTTAAAGATTCCATGGCACTATTCAAAATGAGAAGGGAGCTTCTCCTACCATCCTGACCAACAATCTCTTAAAACAACTGACACTGCCTATTTATGGACCATTGCTGGGTGCAAATTGGTTGCCTAGTGCGCTACAAAATATAGTTATTACACTTCACCATAAACTCCTGTGAGAGCTTTGAGACGTTAACATAAAGCCTATATGAAATGCAAGGATTACTATAATAATTTCAACACTTACACAAGGTGGTGAAAGACCCATTTCTATTTTGAGTGGGCATATCCTGTTTAGTTGTACGACTTCTTCATTCCCATAGTCAATGTACAAGACACGTGCCTTCTCCTGTACAATATTCACACTAGCAACTAATGCTCTATACCAGTCCTGCAAAAGAAGGAAATGAGTTGATAAATTAAGGCTGCATAAACATGTATACTTCTCATCATAGTAAATCTCATACATTACTCAAACACAGCATTTTTCTCACACACTTTTAGAAAAAAACAGAAACTATACTACTTTACGGTAAGCAACTTTCACTGCTGTATCTTGATAAAATAGCAATAAGTAGCACCTTGCAGGATCTTCTCCAGTCTTCGAAGTAACCATCCTCTAAACACCAGTTAAGATACTATTAACGCTCAAAACCCTGGAAAGGATTTCAAAAGTGATAGCCTTTCTGCATTCAATTTCCTCCCATCATTGCAGCTTGGAGACTTTGCAAGCGTTTCCAGTGGGGATGGATTAAAAAGCTAAGTGAAGGAGTAAAGTTCTCTAATATGCTATCCGAATTATAAACATTGAAAGCAGTGATTGGCCATGCTATTATATACGCAATGCTGCACTTTAAAGCTACCGAAGGACAAGCTGGAAGGCATCGTTTGCTTCAGAGGTACGGTGGGAAACATTGCTATGGTGCTTGTCAACACACACTTAATACACTAAAGCAATCAGACATATTTTCCACAACACAAACATACAAAAACTAAAATACACTCCATACTCTGGCGAGTCTCATTTATTAACAGAAGCTCATTAGATCAGAGAAATTAGACCAGTCTTTAAGAATGAATATATAACTACATTAAATTCAACAAGTCCATTTTCCCAATGTGAGTCCTGGCAAAGCCACAAAAAAATAACTGCTTGGAAACGTGTCAAAAAAGGAAAGAATAAAGAAAAACCTAGTGGGAAGAAACATATTAGCAATTCAACTACCAATGTTCACAAGACTAGATTGAATAAAGAAGGCCCTTTTGATCTCTCCATTCCCAGTTCAAAACTTAAGAATTATAATTGCTTTAAAAAGGATGGAGCACTTTCCCAATTCTAAGTGGTGTAAATAACATGGAACAAAACTAAATCTATCTAAAGGCAGTGACACCAAGGGCATACTAAAGAGAAATACTAAACACCATTCTAATATTTTACAGCTGTCATTAAATCCCCAGTTGGCTATGTTACATACATGGGCACCATCTAGTGGCAGAGACAGAAACTCAGCATAGCGAAACGTTCAATTTTGAGTATGAAAAATCACTTCAAATTTTATTCAGTGTTCTTAAAAAAANTGAAACTTAAACCAAATCATTCAAGATGATGTGGAAATTCAAATAAATGTGAAGAGACTACTTATCTTTAATAACCACTGTAAAGCAAAATTAATTCAGTCAGACACATATTCATAAGTCACACTATGTCATTACATAAAATACTGTAAAAATTATATAATATATAATAATAATCCTTGCATTTGATATAGCGTTTTTCATGTTTTATTGACGTCGCAAAGCGCTTCACATAATAGACTGTAAAGTGAATTGACCGTATATTCGGCACAGGAGTTGCCAACCAATCTATTTTACAATACAAACTATATACATCACAAAAATAATATCTGGGGATACAGTATATAGTTTATAATAAATAATCCTTCCATTTGTTATAGCGCTTTTCACGTCTTTGAGATGTCTCAAAGTGGTTCACAGGATATACTGTAAATTGAATTGACTGTATATTTGTGGGTGAAATGCAGGAGCCAATTGTGCACAGCAATGTCCCACAAACAGTCATGGATTGAGTGACCAAATGATTTTTTTTTTGTTGAGGAATTATTATCAGGTGTGTGGAGTAAGAAAACTTGCCCAAAGTTTCGCCCTGCCGGGAATCAAACCCAGGGCTCTCACTTACGAGGCGAGTGCTCTAACCACTGAGCTTTAGGGCTTCAAATTAGAGCCATGGTTTGTATTGTGGATTTGCCCACAAGTGAAAAAAAGTTAGGCAAAAAGAAAAATCAAGGGATTGCTTTATATTGTGCAAGCATCATGCTATGTATTACCTGATCCACTGAAAACTTTGCTGCACAAATTTCTCCTTCTTCGGGTACATACTTGTCTTGGTTATTCACATCTGCACAGGTCTCCTTCAGTGATGAAGCAAGTCTCCTTAAATTCTCAAAGTTTTCCAGAGTGAGGATCTGCACAAAGAATTCATTTGGGTCCTTGAACTCGGTGACAACAATCTGGAAAAGCCCGAATGTCATTTGTAATAGTCAAATGTAACAGTCAAACTCAAAACACAGAAAACCAGGAGACCTACAATTAAGAAACTTTTCAAAAGGCAACAGAATTGCCCGACGTCCTTCACAACCAACAATTATACTTAAAATAAAGTCCTATAAATAGTTGCAACTGTAACCTTGGAAACAAAATGCTTCAGATGATTCAAAGTTCTGAAAAAAATCAAGATTATCCAGTATAGTTATGGTGCTCTCATTCTTTAAAAGAAATTCAACTCCCACAACCAACTCTATAATCTTTAACTTGTATCTGGAACACATACTCGCCTGTAGATTTGATTCTTTTGGCAATTTTATGGGCTTCAAGTCAGCTAATCGAATTTTCGGGGTTTCCATCAATGCTTTGGTGGTATTCATAAGCTGAAAGATTGAACACAACATAGTGAATTTTGATGGCAAGGAATATTTCTACTATTTCACACAATTAACTCCAAATATACAGTGCTTTCTTGTAGTTAAAGGTGGATGTTGAACATTCTCACTTCAAAACAAATATCGCTTGGTTGATAAACAGTTCAATTTCAGTCAAAGCTTGGTCTAATAAATCATTTCTTTCAAATGCAATCTGCTCTATGCACAACAGTGAAATACAAAATATTCCACTAAAAACAAATTCTAGCTAGACAATGTAAGAAATAGTAGTTTCTGCTGGTATCAATATTTTTTTCTGTGAAAAGCTAACTTAGGGAAACAAAAAAGCTAACAGTGAGGGAAAACAAGAAATTAAAAGAGCAGTCGGGAAAGCGAGAAAGAGAGAGACAGGTTTGAAGAATAAAGATCACTGAAGGTGAATCGACACTTCATAGCACAGTGAAGTTTTATGATTGTTCAAGGGCAGGACAATGATAAAACAGCAATGTCAAAAACTGATCATTAGCAAAATATTTCTTCTCATCGATGGAAATGAGTTCAGGTGCAACGGATTAATTTTCCATGTTTTCTGCATTAAAGTCAGAAAGATTTTATAACATTCTTTAAACGATCACTAACCACTTTCTTTTCCAGAAGCATCTTTTCTTTGGGTGCTCTTAGGGGTTCTTCAAGTTTACTGTTAAATTCAAACACAGTTAATAAGTTCTCTATGTGCAACAGTCAAATGCAAAAAAACAATTCTAACTTGGTATTAAAAGGAAAAGATGTAATTTTAGCAGTTAAGGATGAGAAGCTCCAGTCTTTCCAGCATATATGAAGACAAGAAGCTCAATTTATATTTGATCAGATCAGAAGCACTATCTCTTCGCTTTACGATTAAAAATTTAAGGGGTAAAAAGGTGATACAAAAAATAGTTGCAAAAATAATTGTTGAGAATATTCCAGAACAGTTTAAGTATTGCAAAAATGAATATGTAATAAAACTTATTACCCAATTTTGAATTATACAGTCTGATAAATGGTAAGATACCATACCAACAAGACATCTATCGCTTAAGATTGTGTAGAATAGCCGTATTAATGGTATAGTACCTAGTCATAGAAATTTACTGCCTATAGTTTTATTGTTTTATATCCATAATGTCTTTATATATAGGGCTCTACTGTTGAAAACTATTTATCCTTAATTCAACAACAACAACAAATTACATTTGTATAGCACCTTTCACATTAGGCGGACGTCCCAAGGCGCTAATTCAGTTAGCGATGTGGATGTGTATGAGTAAAGACATGCAGATGCCACCATGAAGCTTATAGTGCTTATTGTCAATATATTCAAAAGAGACTGAACAGCAATGCTGCCCACATTTATGATCACTTACTTGATTTTTGTGAGTTTGCATGAACATCTGCAGACTGGCCAATCACTCTTCTGACATTTTACTGAACAACGTACTTGCTTACACTGGGCATATGGATTTGCGCCTGGCAACAAATGGGGGGAAAAAAAATCAAGAACATGGTAGAATTTTTTAAAAAATACACGTGAAAATATTAAATAAGTTTTGAATTGCTCAAAAGCTTCAATTTTACTGCGTTTTTCAACTGCCATTGTATTCATAAGTCACGAAAATTGGCAACATGTTTTTGCATTAACTGGCAGGGGAAAGAAAGTGGTGTTAATGCGCACCTTCCCAAGAAATCTATCGCTTAAGATTGTGTCATTTAAAATTGTCACTGGCTTCCTCTCGTGCCTGTGTTTGGGTCAGATAGTCTTGTAGGCCAGTAATGCAACTGGAGGCGACACTAAGCAAACCTTATAGACTTGCTAAGGCAGAAGAAACAACACCGTAGGAGGCTGAGGAGAAAGTAGGGTCTTAGTTGATAACGTGTTGTGTACATTTGTATCAAAGCTGAGTATAAGAACTAGTGAGGAAACCAGTCAGGTAGGAATGTTCTCACCAAAGGTGTGGGTGGAAGTTCCACCTGGATCCAGACAGGATTTCAGAATGGTGTAGAAGCTTATCAAATTCTTAAATTCTGAAAAAAATGTTTTAAAAAACACAATACCTACCTAGGAGTCCACAGACACTGCAAGTTGCAAAGGAAGATTGCAATGGTGATTGTCTAGATATTTTAGTCTCAGGACTGTAATTCTGCAAACAAGAAAGCTTTTTTTTACTAAATTCATGAGGCAGAAATGTTCCTAACTGAAATAAAAATTGTTCAAGAATTACTTCAGAGTTTGCAAATATTTCTACTAGTGCATATATTAGGTTACAATAGCAGAAACAAATTAATGAGCAAGGAGAACATATTGCAAGTATAATTATCTACATCCATTTGTGTTGGCACAAAAATACAAAGGGGAGGAGGGGGGGGGGGCGTTACTACAATATCCTTCAGATTAAGTCATAAACCAAGTTTTCATCTGCCAGCTCAGGTGAATGTTAAAGATTTCTTGGCATTATTCAAAAAAGACAAGTTTCTTCCGGTGTCCTGGCCAATAATCCCCCAAAATAAAATTAGTATTTTATGATTTCTAGGTCTAGATTATTGACTTTCTACTATTTTACTGCTCATAAAACTGTGGTATACTATAATAGTTGCAAATTAATTAAATTCAAGCAATTAATAAATCTTCTTACTCTAAATCATTCTGTAGAAATCGGGCTTAACAGGTCACACACTGAAACTAGAAATCACATTAAAATATGATTTAATTTCTTACAGTGCAAACGCCTTCAGTTGATTCAAACGGAGACAATCCAACAGCAGATATTTGATGCTGCAATCTTCGTTCTAAAAAACAGAAATGTGGACTGAATACGTGCTCTTAGCACAGAAATGCCTGAAATTCTGCATAATTCAGCACAATAGGCTGGCTGTAAATGAGCCACAGGTGTGCCTTCAGGACAAGTGAGTCACCCCATCTAACTGGAGAATGATTGTTGTTGCCAACAGTTTAAAAAAAACTAAGGATACTGGATCCATTTTGGAACACAATTGCCCTGACCTGGTCTTCACTGACACTCTTATTTGAAAATAAAGCACTTCAGGAGCAGCCTAAATATTGCGCTTCAGGATGAAGTAGAAGCAGAAGAGAAGAAGCCTAAATATTGCACTTCAGGATGAGCGCAAGCATATAAGTTTTTCTTTTCTGTATTTCAAAATCCTGGTTCTCTGAAGCTTGTTAAGCACTCTGAGACTCTACCCTGTAGCTCAGCGGTTAGAGCGCTCGCCTCACAAACGAGAGACCTGGGCTCGATTCCCGGCAGGGCAAAACCATGGGCAAGTTTCCTTACTCCACATGCCTGATAATAATCCCTCAAGAAAAAAAATTAAGTCACTTCAATCCACGACTGTTTGCGGGACACTGCTGTGCACAATTGGCTGCTGTGTTTTGCCCACAAATGTACGGTCAATTCACTTTACAGTATTCTGTGAAGCGCTTTGAGACGTCTAGAAGACCTGAAAAGCGCTATATCAAATGCAAGCATTATTATTATTATTATTTATTACCCTGCGTGGAGGGCACTATATAAGTGCAAGTTGTTGTTAAATAAAGGTGGGCGGACAGAGAATTCCAGTCATAAAGCAATTGTAAATACCAGCACTGAATTACAACAGCCAGCAATTAGGTTGGAGTACAATTTTTTTTCCCCTTATGTAGTTGGTTCATATCCGTCCACCTCAATCCCTACTCTAGCTTTAAATTTCACGCTAAAACCTACCTCAGCGACAATGTCTATGGTTAACTTCCCCTCTTCCCCATCCTCCTAGGTTAATAATAATCCCAGAGTGCTTGACAACATCTGTATAGCGCCTTTCACGTTGGGAGGACGTCCCAAGGCGCTGGACAGTGTACAGCATTTCAGACCCCATGTCTGCGGATGATGTCACCAAGGGGGAGCATGTAAATATTAAAGAGGAGGCAAGGACAGAGCCCTGGGGGACGCCAGATGTGACAGTGCAGGGGCTGGAGGAGAAACCATTAGAGGCAACAAAGTGGAAACGGTGAGATTGATAGGAATTGAACCAGGCAAGAGCAGGTCCGCGAAGATTAAGTAAAGAGGAGAGGATGGAGTGGTCGATAGTGTCGATGGCGGCAGAGAGGTCGAGGAGGACAAGGAGGCAGAGGGAGCCCTGATCACAGGTGTCCAGAATGACAGTGACTTTGACCAGGGCTGTTTCTGTGCTGTGGGCAGCGCGGAAGCCGGATTGGAGGGGTTCAAAGAGGGAATGGGGAGAGAGAAAGGAGCGGAACTGGGACGCGATGACTCATTCCAGGACCTTGGAGAGGAATAGGAGGTTAGAGATGGAGTGGTAGCTGGAGAGGAGAGATGGGTCCAGGAAAGGTTTATTCAGGATGGGGTTGATGACAGCTGTTTTTAGGGGGTTTGGAACTGAACCATTGGACAAGGAGAGGTTGATGACGTCGGACAGGAGAGGGGCCGGAAGGTGAGATGGGAGATGAGGAGAGAGGTGGGGATGGGATCGAGGGAGCAGGTGGTGGGTTTAAGTTTGCGAACAATCGTGAAGAGGGAGGAGGGAAAGATAAGGTCAAAGGAGTATAGGGGATGGGACGGGTGGCGAGTGGGTCATGAGGGAGAGGTGATGTGGGGTGGCTGTGGACAGGGCTGAGGTGGCTGAACATATCCTTTAAATTTTGGTTTCGAGGAAATCCAGCATCTCCTCACAGTTGGAGTTTGATGAGAGGATGGGTGAGGTGTGGCAAGGTGGACGGAGGAGACGGTTTGACAGTGGCGAAGCACAACACTGAGCTGGGGGGAGGGGTTGGAGGGGGGATGGTGTTTGACTACAGGCACGGTCAAAAAGGAAAGTCTTCATGCGCGATCTGAAGATGAGCAGGAAGGGGCAAGATGGAGAGATAGAGGAAGAGTGTCCCAGCATTTCGGGGCATAGTGGCTGAAAGCACAATCAAAATTGAACATTTCTAATTTCACACATTATATGAGCCACACACACTGTTTTATTATGGAACAATTACCTCCAGGATTAGGTGAATTTTGGTGAATTTCCCCGTTCACTTGTGGCAATATTCCAGTTGTAGCCTTTGTATCGATTAAATCATTTGTCTGGTGACCTCCACTCACACCACTGACCGTTGCGGGGTTACTAATATCAGAAAAACATTCCTTGGCAAACTCACAAAAATTTAAGTTTCCTTTTCTTGGTAAACTGCAGATGCTATCTTCTAACATGGGCTTCCTAATGGTAAAATTAGGACGTACACGAGTATTTATTATGATGTCGCAGGCATCATCTGAGATGCAATTTAGTGACTGAGCCTGGACACTTCTTCTGGTATCTTTTTGTGGTTTCTGCTGTACACAGTTAAGAGCCCTTGGTTTGGAGTTGGGGCGGAATTTCTTCTCCGACATTGCAACAGGAGCACGACTCACTTCAAGATACCTGAAAAGACAAAGGTAAGGTTACGTGCACAAAGCGTTCCATCAATGCAGGCAGAAAAGTCGGGCGGATGTCTCAAACCACTTCCTCAAACCAACGGATGGTACTGCAGGCGAACCCGGCAACCAAATTCGGGCACGGAATAAATCCTACAATAAAACAAACAGCCACGAAAAGAACGGCCGATTTTATCTGGAGGATTGTTGGTCAGGGCACTGGAGAGAGAGAGAAACTCCCTTGTCGGGGGGGGAGGGGGGGGGGTGAAGGAAGAGAAATTATCCCGGGGGAAGCAGCCTTGATGGGTCTCTGGTCCTTATCACTCATTATCATATTGATGTTGAAGAGCTAGCCCCACACCAAACCAAAACGCTGATAATGGTAATAATAATAATCCTTGCATTTAATATAGCGCCTTCCAAGTGTTTCTCTGCTTCCATTTCTGTGGAGTCCTGTGGCTCAGTAGTTCGCAAGCGAGCGAGAGGACCTGGGTTCAATTCCCCGGGCAAAATGCTGGCCAAGTTTCCTTTAATCCACACACAGTCGATTGGCGAATGGCTTTTCTGGGAGTGGGGGGGGGTAATAATCCCCTAAAAATACAAATAAGAAGTCATAGTCACTTGAATCCCACGAGGATTTGTGAGGACGTCGCGATAATATAGCCACGAAGACCTGACCGTGTGAACTGCGAAGCCCTTGGAGACGACTCGAAGACGTGATCAAGGAGTTACATCAGATGCCAGGATTATTATTATTATATTAATTTTATTTATTGATTGTTATTATTATCAGGTGGTGGAGACGCCTCAAAGCCCTTTCCAGTACAGAGATAATATATATATATATACAGGTCTGTCTCTGTCCACGGGCCAAAACCTTCGCTGTGTTTAGGTTTATTTCATTTAACTCCTTCCCATTGCTGACTCACCCGCTCCCTCACCCCTCATCCGCTCCCCGACTCCCTCACCCGCTTCCCAACCCCCCCACCCCTCACCTGCTACCCCCCCCCCTCACCCTCTCACCCGCCACCTCACCCCTCCCGCCCCTCACCCGCCCCCTCCCTCACCCGCCACCTCACGCCCCTCACCTGCCCCCGCCTCTCACCCGCTCCCTCACCAGCTCCCCACCCCCCCCCCTCACCAGCTCCCCCACCAGCCCCCCCTGCCCACCCCCTCACCAGCTCCCCCCCCCACCAGCCCCCACCTGCCCCCCCCTCACCTGCTCCCCCCCCCCTCACCAGCTCCCCCCCCCTCACCAACTCCCACCCCTCACCAGCTCCCCACCCCCTCACCAGCCCCCACCCCCTCACCTGCTCCACCCCTCACCTGCTCCCCCCCCTCACCTGCCCCACCCCTCACCTGCCCCACCCCTCACAGCTCCCCTCACCAGCTCCCCCCCCTGCCCCCCCTCACCAGCTCCCCCCTGCCCACCCCCTCACCAGCTCCCCCCTGCCCCCCCTCACCAGCTCCCCCCCCTCCCCCCCCTCACCAGCTCCCCCACCTGCCCCCCCCTCACCAGCTCCCCCCCCTGCCCCCCCCTCACCAGCTCCCCCCCCTGCCCCCCCCCTCACCAGCTCCCCCCCCTGCCCCCCCCTCACCAGCTCCCCCCCCTGCCCCCCCTCACCAGCTCCCCCCCCTGCCCACCCCCTCACCAGCTCCCCCCCCCTGCCCCCCCCCTCACCAGCTCCCCCCCCCTCACGCTCCCCCCCTCACCAGCTCCCCCCCCCTGCCCCCCCCTCACCAGCTCCCCCCCCTCCCACCCCCTCACCAGCTCCCCCCCTCACCAGCTCCCCCACCCCTCACCAGCTCCCCCACCCCCCTCACCAGCTCCCCCTCACCAGCTCCCCCCTCACCTGCTCCCCCTCACCTGCTCCCCCTCACCTGCCCCCCCTCACCTGCTCCCCCACCCCCTCACCCCCCTCACCTGCTCTCTCTCTCCTGACGCCGCCTGACCAACGGTCACTCGGCACACGTGCCCTCGACTGCGCTTGCGCCTGCGCGAGGCAGGGCGGGGTCGAGGGCGGGGCAGGGGGCGGGGCCGGGCCGTCGCGCGCCCGTGTGTGTGTGTGTGTGAGAGGAGGGATTCGCACGTGACTCCTGCTTCATCACGTGACGGCCGGCGACCCGCCGCACCTGGGCAGGTTTGGGCGGTTTCACGCCCAATTGGACCGGTTTGACGCCCAAACCCTTCGCCACGCCACGCCCCCACCCCACTCCCTCAGGACCCATCTCAAGACCGTCCTCTTCGACCGTGGCTTCGATCACCCTCCTTCCTCCCCCACACTCCCACCCCCGGCCCCCCGCCCCCGGCCCCCGGCCCCCGGCCCCCCGCCCCGGGTCTGAAACACTGACCGTCCAGCGCCTTGGGGCGTCCCTCCCGACGTGAAAGGCGTGACGCAATTTGGTAATTTTGCTGTCGTAGGGCCACTTTGGGGCCAGTACAGTAATTCGGTTGACTTTGGGCTGCAAACCTATTTGGCAGGAGAGAGTGAGGCTGAACAGACTGCTCTGGCAGAGAGCGCAGCCCAACCCAGCACAACCCAGCACAGCCCAACCCAACCCAGCGCAGCCCAGCGCAGCCCAACCCAACCCAGCCCAACCCAGCACAGCCCAACCCAGCACAGCCCAACCCAGCACAGCCCAACCCAACCCAGCACAACCCAGCGCAGCCCAACCCAGCACAGCCCAACCCAACCCAGCACAACCCAGCGCAGCCCAGCGCAGCCCAACCCAACCCAGCCCAACCCAGCACAGCCCAACCCAGCACAGCCCAACCCAGCACAGCCCAACCCAACCCAGCACAACCCAGCGCAGCCCAACCCAGCACAGCCCAACCCAACCCAGCACAACCCAGCGCAGCACAGCGCAGCCCAACCCAGCACAACCCAGCGCAGCCCAGCGCAGCCCAACCCAGCACAGCCCAACCCAACCCAGCACAGCACAGCCCAACCCAACCCAGCACAGCCCAACCCAGCGCAGCCCAACCCAGCACAACCCAGCGCAGCCCAACCCAGCACAGCCCAACCCAACCCAGCACAGCCCAGCGCAGCCCAGCGCAGCCCAACCCAGCACAGCCCAATCCAACCCAGCCCAACCCAAAACAGCACAGCCCAACGCAGGACAGCCCAACCCAACCCAGCACAGCCCAGCGCCAGCCCAGCCCAACCCAGCACAGCCCAACCCAACCCAGCCCAACCCAGCACAGCCCAACCCAACGCAGCCCCAGGGCAGCCCAACACAACCCAGCCCAGCGCAGCCAAAATGGGCAGATTTTTTTTTAAATTGAGAAAATAAGTGCGAAATGTTGGGGAAGTTTTCTGACTGCGCGCACACACACACACACACACACACACCCGCGCGCGCCCCTGTGTTTACATAGCAGTCAGTAGGAACGCGGTTGTTAAGTCGATTTTGGTGGATCGCTTTCCCGGGGTAAATTTTACAAAAAAAATAATGATTCGGTCACTCAATCCGCGGCTGTTTGTGGGTGGGACGCCGCTGCGCGCAACTGGCCGCCGGGTTTCGCCCACAAACTACAGTCGGTTCACTTTACGGTGTATTCCATGAGGCGCTTTGAGTCGGCTCGACCGCCGAGTGAGTGAAGGAAGCGTTAGTGATTCGTAATAATTTAGTGGCTACAACTTTTTTTTTATATAACTTGAGGAACCGCTGGAATAGGTCACACAGTGAGTGAGTGAGTGAGTGAGAGGGTTCGTTGCAGAAGACGTGTTGGTGTGACTGCAAAACCTGGGCTCGCCCACTGAGCTTAGCCGGGCGGTGATTGGCTGGCGGCTTAGCCGGGCGGTGATTGGCTGGCGGCTTACCGGGCGGGGATTGGCTGGCGGCTTACCGGGCGGTGATTGGCTGGCGGCTCAGCCGGGCGGGGATTGGCTGGCGGCTTATCCGGGCGGGGATTGGCTGGCGGCTTAGCCGGGCGGCGATTGGCTGACTGCTCCGGGCCAGGGCGGCCATTGCCATTGGCTGCCATTGCCCCGCCCCCTCCCGCCGCACCTGCCGCCATATTTGTTGTCGTGTCAGAGCCCGCGGTGCTCGGCCGCTTTGCGAGGGGGTGGGATCCCGGGAGCCGGGGGTGAGGCCATGGCAGCTGGAGGGAGGGTGGGAGGCGCCGCAGCCGCAGACCGAGCAGAGCAGAGCAGCGCCGGGGCCGCTGAAGCGCGTTAAGCCGGGCCTTTGTGGTGAGTCCGCGGCGCCTCCCGGGGTTTGCGGTTGACGGGGCCCAGTACAGTGCCTCCTCTCTCACCTGGTGCCCTCCCCCCCCCTCCCCCTTCTTTTCCTCCTTCCCTCCTATTCCCTCTTCCCTCGTTCCTTCCCTCCTCTTCCCTCCCTTTTCCCTCTTCCCTCCTTCCCTCCTTCCCTCCCTTTTCCCTCTTCCCTCTTCCCTCCTTCCCTCCCTCTTCCCTCCTTCCCTCCCTCTTCCCTCCTTCCCTCCCTCTTCCCTCCTTCCCTCCCTCCTTCCCTCCTTCCCTCCTTCCCTCCTTCCCTCCTTCCCTCCTTCCTTCCCTCCTTCCCTCCCTCCCTCTTCCCTCCCTCTTCCCTCCTTCCCTCCCTCTTCCCTCCTCCTCTCGCTCTCTTCTTCCCTCCTCCCTCCTTCCCTCGTCTTGAGGTACTTTTCACAGCCTCGGCCCATTGGTTTCGGTGTTGGGTGTTGGTTTTGCTTCCCTTGTTGTTGGCGGAGCTGTCGGGTGTCTTGGTCGTCATGTTGTGTGGTCCACCCGATCGCACAGCAACTAAAGATTATTAATAACACTCACTCACCGTCCTGGCATTTGATACAGCGCCTCATCACGTCTTCGAGATGTCCCGAAAGCGCTTCGCAGGATACGCTGTAAAGTGAATTGACTTGTACTGTGTGGGCGAAACGCGGCGGCCCCACCGCGCGCAGCGGGTTACGCCGGATACTGCTACACACAGGATGCTGACATTCCCCGTCAAGAAGTAGATGCATTCGAGATACAGTAGTGCCATTTCACAATAGGACATCTCAAAAGTGCATCGTAGGAGTTACTGTAAAGCCCGGTTACTGTATTTTTGCAGGCAAAATGCAGCAGAAATGTCCCAACAACAACAACAACAACTTGCATTTATACAGTGGCTTTCACGCCAGGAGGGCATCTCGGGGCGCTCGACAGTGAAGGGCTTGCGCTCAGGCTGGGGGTTGGTATCGAGGGATGGGAAGATGACCGAATGCACGGTCGAAGGGGAAAGTCTTGAAGGGGGCAAGGCAGAGGCACTCCAGGATGGAGTTCCAATGGGTGGGATAGATAGGCTGAAGACCTCACCGCCATTGCCCAGTGTCTGCCGAGCGGACAGGTTGCTAAAGGTCGCATACAGTGAATGTTCACTTGCATCTGGAGAATTATTGGCCAGACTACCAGGAAAAACTTCTCTATTTGATAGGGCCATGGAGTCTTTAATGGCACCTCCAACATTGCAGCGTGCCCCCAACACTGAGCTCGAGTGTCATCATAGGAGTTCTGACATGGGGCTTCAACCCACAACCTTCTGACTCAGCCAGATTGGCACCACAAAAATACTAACCGTGCATATATTGTTTACTGATACCTGCCTCTTTGCCTTGTTCCGTATTGTAAATTCTGAATAATTAATAATTCAAAGGAGGAAAATTCACAAGCCTATTTTGGATTAAAAATTTCCATGGCTTGGGTATTCACTTTTAATTCACTTTCAATTTTTTTTGTGTGGGGGGGGGGGAAAGAACCAGTTTGAATGGTTAAATTTAGTAATGTTATCATTAAAATCGATTTGCTTGACAAAGATCATGTTTTGATGTTGTGTCACAAATATAATTGTCAGTTATATATTCTATGTAGGTTTTTTAATTTTTTTTCCCCCAAGAATCCTGGCTAACAGTCCTGCAATTAAATTGATCATTCACCTGCTGTTTCTTTGTGTGCAAATTGGCTGTCACATTCGCCTACAAATACACAGTCACTACACATTGCAGAAAACTGGACCTGCTGCACATCCCTTTCGCTCTGCCCACCATCTTGGCCAAGCCTTCAGCAACTCTGCCCCCACCATTTGGAACTCCCTCCGTCTATCGGTACCTTGACTTGCCCCCTTTCTATCTGATCAGAAATCTTGCCAATAGTTAACTTCCTTCAACCAGGTCTATGATCATCTTCCCCCCCCCCCTCGCTTGTTGGCATCTGAGATCAATCCTGTGAAGTACTTACATCAATATATGTTATGTGAAGATCAATATATAAATTGCAGGTTGTTTTTGATAAGGCAAATGGAGGGATTATTATGTCATTTCAGTTTTGAATCATTGCAAGGTTAAAATGATGTAAATACTGTAACTAAAACAGTGCTGGTCGCCACAACCCTAAACTGGATTGTATCCTGGCCTTGAACTATCAGATTCACATGACTAGTTGCAGTTGAATTTAGTTGTTCAAATAACTTAGGATTTAAGCGAGCATAATATTTTCATCTCTGAGCCCTGAATTTCACCTGGTCTTGCTCTAGAGGAGACTGGCGTTTAAGATTGTTCATGATTGTTCAAATTCTTAACATTCAGTGTTAATTTGGAAGGTGGTTCTTTTCAAAAACTGTGGAAAAGCAGCTTTCAAATTGAGACAGAATTTGAAAGATTTCTTGTAATTCCCAACATTTCTCATAATGTTATACTGTAAGCCGGGAGAGAGTGCACATTCCATTCCAAAAATGCATCTCTGGAATTTCCTTATGTGGGCGAGCTGCGGGGAATTTTCAGTTTGTTTGGATACTCTTGAGCGTGGCGATGGGTTTCTGCATGTGTCAAGACACCCGGCCAACCAAAATAAATGGTCTCAAAACTAAGTTGAATTGGGGTATCTGAAATGTTATTCAATGATAAAGTTCTGTATGTGCAATCTTCAAATGCACAAAGTGTGTTTTATTGCCTTTCGACTTCTGACACTTTTGGTCGACTTGAAAAGACCCGTTGATGAATTCTTCTGTTGAAGATTGTATCACAATATACCTATGAGTCAAACAATTCCATGTGCACTAGTTATTTCCAGCCTAGTTAAAAATATTACAAAGTATTTAATTGACAGCTGAAATTGAGTCACTTTCTGTTTCGCTTGCCATTTTGTCAGCGTTTTGATTAGGTCTATCCCTTTGTGAGCTCGGTATTCATTTCCTTTAGGTGATATATTGTCTTTTTTTATTAAAAAAAAAGTTTACGTAGAATCTGTACGCTTGTTACACAACAACCATTTCAATGCAGGGCTCGTATTGTTTCTATTTCTATTTGACTGGAATTGTGCTGCCAGTTCTAAACTGTTGTCATTGTCACCTTTGTCCCATAGAGCACTCGCCTCGCGAGCGAGAGGACCCGGGTTTGATTCCCAGGGCGGGGCGAAACATTGTGCAAGTTTCCTTACTCCACACGCCTCTGTTTACCAGCAGTAAGTAGGAACCCGGTTGCTAGTCGATTGATGGATTGATTTTCTGTGGCTTATCCCTTAAATTTGTATAAAAATTGGTTCACTCAATCCACGACTGTTTGGGCGCAATTGGCTGCTGCATTTTGCCCACTAAATATACAGTCAATTCACTTTACACTATATTCTGTGAAACACTTTGAGACATTTCAAAGATTTGACAAGGTGCTATATCAAATGCAAGGATTGTTATCATATATAATGCTGAGTTCTCCCATGCAAATGTAATGACATGCACAAGTAGAAGTCTAAGAGCTGCTGATGAATAATAATTGATTATTAAAGAGACTGACATCTCCCAAACTCTTTATTATTATTGAGAAAGAGTGATCTGGTGGTGAAATTTAAAATGTTTACATTTACGGTATTGAATTGACAAAACTATGTACTTTAACAGCAGTATTAACATAAATGTCATTCACATTTAAATACGCTTTTGTAAATGTCCATTCTGAGTTTTATTGTTATGTGGAATTTCCGATCTGAGAATACTGTCTTGATTTAATAGGTAAAAGCGCCAATTTGTGCTGTATAGACTACAAGGTCTCAGCTTAGATTCCTGGTTTGTACAGTCTTGAGACGCCAGCCTGTGTGGAGGGCTCTATATAAGTGCAAGTTGTTGTTGTGCAGAGTTGGTTGATCTCAGCTGAGATCGCTGTTTAAGGTGCAAATATAATAATAATCTTTGCATTTGACGATGGGGGTTCTTGAATCGATGACCTTTCTGACTCAGAGTGTTACCAACCGAGTCAGGATGACACTGTTGTCGTTAGTGCCTTTGGGCTTGGGAAAGGAAGCTTCAGTGTTCCCATTCCTGATCTCTCTCCCGTGCTCAAGCTGGAAGAAGTGTTTAGTTTATATTGAAGCTGGTTGAATGGCCTCCTGTCATTCACTGTCTGTGCTCAGAAATGAAGGGTGGCCACTTAGGTGAGTTACAGGGAGTTGCTACCCATGAAATTCTCTCAAGGCCTGAGGAAATCCACGGCTTTGGGCTGGATACTTAATAGCCTGATCATATTTAGAAAGGTTTTTGATATATGTGTAGTGCACATTCAGTGTTTTCAATTAATAAATCACTGGTTTAAAATTGATTAATTTTAGACAGTCATTGCCACACATTGCCACTGGTCCTGTTGAAAACAAGTTCCTGAAAAAATGTCCCAGCAGGAACTTTTTATAGTAAGTGAACCAAGCTTAAAGAACAAGGAGTATATTTTAAACATTCTAGACTACTCATCGCAAATCAAACATTACTGGTTATTGAAGACGGTTTCTTGATGACTTAAGTGTGAGTAATTACCAGTGCAAATATTTAAATCACAGCAGACTCTAAATTAAATTTTGCATTAAGATTGCTAACCAAATTTATATATGTATGATCATTAGATTGTATCATTTAGTACTGATTTAGTGGGATTCATTTTGGAGTTAACTTGTTACGATTGACAGTGGGCAGGCTATTGTACCAAAGCAAAACTACACCTGACGAGGTGAAACCCAAAAGAATACTTTGTTCTGAAATATTTTGATTTTTTCCCCAGTTGTGAGTCATAAAGGTTTGACTGTTAGAACTTAATCTTAAGGTGTGGTGAGAATATTGCCCTACAATTCTAAAATATGTATCGTGACGTCAATTAAACTATCACCAGCTGGTGGGTGGGGCATAATAGGGTTCCTCTTCTTTGCACCTGTTTTATATTGCTTATTGCAGCTGGATTTGAAGTGACGAAGGTGTGGACGAGAGTTTTGAGTTGTGGACAAGGGCCATCACCATTTAACCTACAGAAATCTACAACAACAACTTGCAATCAATTTACTAAGTTTGTTTTTTGTTTGAAGCATATGGATGGTTTAAATCTACACTTCACCAGTCCATTGGATGGTGCATTAGTAGCTAACAGAGGCTCTCAGCATTTCAAGCCCCTGCTTCACCAATTGAGATGTTTTCTGGAGTGAAAATGTCCTTCATGTATAAAGGAGCGCAGTACAATAAGTATGTATCAAAGATACCTCCTGCATGTCCTTTCAAAAAAACTATGAACATCAGAATTAGCATTTCATCCTTAAAGGTCAAGGAGTGAGAGAAGATGTCCAGTGTTTCAAAGTAGCGCTAATTTAGCTCATATCATAATGGAATCATGGGATGTAGGTTTGATTCTGCCCTAAACATGCTTTTTTAAAAGTCGTTCAGCTCCGGGCATCAGGGATTAATTCTTCACACAAAGAATTTTGAGAATGTAGAATGAACTGCTCTTAAAAATCTTGGCTGCGGAATTGTTCAAGATGTTTAAAAGGGAGGTACTTGTGAATTAAAGATATTAAGGGATATGGAGAGGAAACAGAGTCATGAGATTGAAAACATTTTCACAATCTAATCTTTCTACTGGTCTAGTTAGTTAATTATATGCATCTTCAATAAAGTAGGGTGCTTCCTATTTTATATTGCAACTTCGTCCACAATGGAAGTATTTAATTATTAAGCTTGCAAAACAATTTCTTGAATCTGAATATTAATTTCTTTGGGCTTAAGGGTGTGTTTTGTCAGTCAGAAATGACTCAAATGTTTTTGTTTTTATAGTGACTCAATGTTACAATGACTTAAATAGACTGCTTATTAGATTCTATTCTGATAAACTCAATGTCTTAAATGTTACAGTATACAGTATAATGTTTAACACATCTGCATATGGTAAAGATTAAGCTAACTAATTACTGGAATTGTCAGTTTTGTTGCTTTAGAAAGTGCAGCTGTTGTGAGTTCCATGTATATTTTTGGAACCATCTCTGTCGTACTGGAAAAATAGCTATGTGGAAGAATGCTCTTTTTGTGACCTTGTCCTTTCAACATCTCATTAAGGTGTTCTGTGTTCATTGTTACAGGATAAACATATGAACAGAGGAGAATGGAACAACATTCAAATGAGGAGTTTGATCTGGAGGCCAATGAACAGCTGCCAAGCAATACTAATGAAGAAATAAATCTGTCAATCAATGATGGTCCTAGAAATCAAGGGTCTATTAATGGAGACACTCCAGAAGAGGCTGATACTCCAAATGGCACATATTTTGAGTCAGAAGCACTTTACTCAGCAAAAACGCGAAACATGAAAACACACCTAGAAACAGAAGGGGAATGCGGAACTCTTGAGGCACCATCAGAAAAGGAAAATGTTGAACAGAATGAGAAAAACATGGCAGATAATGGTGGAAGTGGCGAGCCATTTGCCATAATAACTTTGAAAAGTGATCTGCAAATAATGTCGGAAAGTAGGCAAGGTGCTGGCGACTGCATCAAACCGATTGAAACTGACAGTTGTCAAACACTCCATCCCATATCCGAGCTTTCAAAGCAGGAAGAGCCTACGGATTGGATCAAAACTATATCTCACTCCAAGTTTGGTTCAGAGAGTCCATTTGACACCGAACGCACCAAAAACCTGATGTCTAAAATGAAGCAGGTGACTTCACAGGATGCTTTGCTCGAGGAGATCGAATCAGAGTTGGATCTGTTTTCGGTTGAAATTCCAGCGGACTCTAGCTTACCCAATGGAATTACAAAAGAGAGTGGTAGCATAGCTATGTTAAGTGATTCAATGCAAAGCAAATATTTTCACCAAGAATGGAAAATAAGAAAGTAAGTATTATTAAGAACGGGCATTTGAAATTCTAGTTGAACGCACCAATTTGAAAAATTGCAAGGTTGAAAAAAAAATGCCAGATTTCTGGTGTAATATTCGAGTTAACTAGGTTCCCTTAAGTTATTTTTACTTAGACATGTTATTCTGACATAATAATAATAACAATCCTTGCATTTGATATAGCGCTTTTCACATCGGGAGGACGTCCCAAAGAGCTTCACAGAACACACTGTAAAGTGAATTGACTGTATATTTGTGGGCGAACGCGGCAGCCAATTGCGCACAGCAATGTCCCACAAACAGTCGTAGATTGAAAATGACCAATTTATTATTGTTTTGGGTTTTGGAGGGATTATTATTAGGCTCTGTGTGGAGTAAGGAAACTTGCGCAAGGTTTCACCCTCTGCCTGGAATTGAACTCAGGTCTCTCGCTTGCAAAGCGATGTACATGTTCAGTACTGTACTATGATATTCAATGGCTAGAACTTGTGGTGATAAACTTTATAGCATCAGTGAAAATCTCGCCTATCTAACTACTTAGAGAGAAGTGCTAAAGTCCTCCTAGTTTAACTTTTATTATATGGGGAAAGATTTGAGATCATTGGCATGAATACTCCAAAAATGCTGTTTCTTAATTTGTCCTTAAACTGCAGCAATATAAGTAGAATTGAAGTGTCTCCAGTCCCCAAGATTGAGACCATGCAGCTCAGTGTTCCACCAAATAGTGCCTTAACCACTAATCACTTTGGAACATTGCCTTATGACAACCAATGTATTCTCATTTAGGAGTATTGAGTTAACTCTCACCAACCTGCCTAATACTTTCGCAGGATGTGTCCCTCCAGGGAGAGAGTGGGCATTCCATCAATTGTGGAATTTCCATGTGTAGGTGGAATGCATGGAATTCTCAGTTTGTTCTGGATACTCTTTAGCACGGTGATAGGTTTCTGCATGTGTCAGACACCTGGCTGACCGAAGAAAAACTGTAGTACAGCAGTTCAAAGTGTGGTTCCTGATTATACCTGTTTTATTGTGCAGACTGATGGAAGAAAACCGCAAACATCAGGAAATGATTGTAGAGATCTGTGCAGAGAAAGACAACTTGAAAGCAGAATTGAAAAGGCGATCTGAAACAGAAAAGCAATATATCATCTCTATCAAACAGGTGAATCACCATCAGCGGTTGGGCCTTCAGCCTCTCTGCCCCCACCCTTTTGAACTGCATCCCATAGTACCTTTGCAAGACCCTCCTCTCAAGACCCTCCTCTTTCACTATACCTTCAGCCATCCCCTACCCCTCCCCTCCCTGCCCTCAACCACCACCCCCCCACTGATCCCAACCCCCTGCTCAGGTCCAAATCACTGGCTGTCCAACAACAACAAAATTACATTTGTAAAGTGGCTTTCACGTTGGGAGGACGTCCCAAGGCGCTGGACAGACAGAGTTAAGGACCCGAGCTGGGGTCGGGGTGGGGGAGGGTGGAGGGCAGTGGGGGAAGCGGGGAGATAGAAAACACGGTCAAAGAGGAGGGTCTTGAGATGGGTCTTGAAGGTGGCGAGGGAGGGGGTGAGACTGAGGGACTGCGGGATGGAGTTTTAGAGGGTGTGGGCAGAGTGGCGGAAGGCCCACCTGCCAACAGTGGGGCAAGCGAGGTGGGGCCCGTGAGCAGGCTGGAGCCCACTGAGCGGAGGGAGCGAACAGGATGGTAGGGGATTAGGAGGTGGCAGAGGTCGGGGGGAGCAAGACCGTGGAGGGACATGGAGGTGAGGACCAGGATATTGAACTGTATCCTCTGTGTGATGGGTTAGGTTCCAGGGCCTTGGGGTGTCTTCCCGATGTGAAAGGGTGCTATACAAATGTCATTTGTTGTTGAATCACCTCTACATTACAAAAATCACATTTATCTGACACAATTGGTTTTGAGTTCATTATCATATAATTACTATACAAATTGTTTTAGCCTAATGGTGTAATTTGTGAACTTTAGTTTCCTTTGCCTGGGGCTGCTCTGTGCCATGCATTGTTTTAGTAAATGATTGATGACCTGCTTATGCCAATTCTTTCCTTTCACTTTGGGGAAAGCTTTCTGTGTTATGCAGTAACTTGTATTTTTTTTCATTATTTATCTCTCTGCTGCCTTTCTATATGGAAGTATCTGGTATCTGTTTGGTACATCCATCCGATGACCTGACTTAGATTGTATTTCACTGGGCACCAAATTGCATGGGTAAACCTGTTTTCTAATCATTTTGGGCTATTTCCTTGCCTTTGCTATTTTTTTCAGTGCACAAAATAGTGTTTAAATCAGCATTAGCAGATATTTAAAGAAAATCTCATTCTTGCAGTAGTTTTGGTAGCTGCTATTATACTTGTTCAGAAATAATAAAAATGCTGACATTTGGTTTTAAAGTACGTTTCCATCTAATTGTGGATTTTTATATTAATAACTACAACTGGTTTTGTTAAGCATTGTAATTCATTCCCATCCATTGTCATCAATGGACAGCATCATTTGCATTTCCTATATAACCTTATCATGTTGTCAAAACATCTCAAAGCTATTCACAGGATATACTGCACTTTTATTTTAACTGTGGATTATCGTTTCTTGGTTCATTTGTTGCTGTTGAGTGGTTGTGAAACAAATCTCAAGAGAACGTCTTTATTTTATTTTATTCCAGGTGGAAGCAAGATGTGAAGATCTTATGAAGGAAGTCAAAGTTACAAAAGACCGAATAATATCTCAAGATGCCGCTGCCAAAAACGCTATTCAACAGCTACAACGAGACGTAACGTTTCGGATAGAACTAGTAAGATTTGAATCAATTCCAAGTCAAAAANTAATTTGCATTGTAAATACTTGGTGACCTGGTTTGTTGGGTAGTCTGCTAGACTGGAACATTACCAAATAAATGCTAAAATTGGAACGCCACTTTATATTTTCTTTCATTTGCTTTTGTGCTTGTTTTACCTTTGATCTATCCTTGATTGACCTAATGCTTCCTTTCAAAGCCTTCCACGACCGTGCCCCTCCCTACCTCTGTGACTCCATACTGCTAACTCCATATTGACCTGTCCACGATCCCTGCTCAATAGGATCCAGCCTGCCCGCCTCCCCCCAGCACACCCCGCCACCACTCCAATCAAAGAGTGTGCAAAAATCATTACAAACGAGTGGTGATAAGTGTGGAGTAATAATTCCAGTATGTAGTCCTGTAGCTCAGTGGTTAGAGCACTCGTCTTGCAAGTGAGAGACCTGGGTGCGATTCCCAGCGGGGCGAAACCGTGGGCAAGTTTCCTTACTCCAAACGCCTGATAATAATCCCTCAAGTGAAAACACCAATAATAATTTGGTCACTCAATCCATAACTACATGTGGGAGGTTGCTGTGCGCAATTGGCTACTGCGTTTCTCTCACAAAATATACAATCAGTTCACTTTACAATATATTCTGTGAAGTGCTTTGAGACGTCTATAATAATCCTTGCATTTGATGTAGCACTTTTCACGTCTTCTGGACTGTTTTGAGGCAAATTCTATTTGTAAACTTCAGGTATGAATTTCCTTTGAGTAAAATTGAGTAGTTACACTTATTTTGTGTGGAGTCCTGCAGCTCATTGGTTAGAGCACTCCATTTGCAAGCGAGAGACCTGAGTTCAATTCCAGACAGGGCGAAACCTTGGGCAAATTTCCTTACCCACACAGAGCCTAATAATAATCCCTCCAAAAACAATAATAAATTGGTCATTTTCAATCTACGGCTGTTTGTGGGACATTGCTGTGCGCAATTGGCTGCCGCGTTCGCCCACAAATATACAGTCAATTCACTTAACAGTATATTCTGTGAAGCGCTTTGGGACTTCTAGAAGATGTGAAAAGCGCTATATCAAATGCAAGGATTATTATTATTATTTTTAATATTTTGTCATATAAATTGATTAGGTCTCTGCAGAAGCATTGTGTCCTAGATCAGTTTCTTTAAGATGTGAAATTAAATAGATCTTTACTTCCTAGGCTAACAAAAAATGTGAGGAGGCTCGTCAGGAGAAAGAAGGTATGGTGATGAAGTATGTTCGAGGAGAGAAAGAGGCCCTTGATCTTCGAAAGGAAAAGGAAGCACTTGAAAAAAGACTAAGGGATGCAAACCGAGAAATAGAAAAATTGTCAAATAAGACCAAACAGCTGACCCAAGAGAAAGCAAGGCTACAGCAACTGTATGAAGCAAAGGTAATTTGCTCACGCTGTCTTATTTTCAGTGAAACCTTTGACGGCAGCAAAGGTGTAAGGTGTTTATCAGTTCAAATTGTTTTCTTCCCTTCTACCTCACTCTCGAAAAAGCCTTCATTTTTCAAAGGTGGCAATTCACTCTAAAATACACAAACGATCCACCCATTTTATGGTTGGGTAAGAATCCCAGACATGTATTTGACTCTTGGCACACAATTTTAGAATTGATCAGGCAATCTCAATCTCAATCATTGCCATCTTTTTTCCCAGGAAATGTTGCAGGACAGTTCCCCAAGATTCCCACAGGTGTCCAGTTACCTGACCAAGCTGTATCAGCCTTGCCGGTCTAGATTATTCCCGCCGAACATGATCAGGTCTATATACCTAGCATTAAGTAGGGACCCGGTTGTTAGTCAATTGGCGGATCGCTTTTCCGGGCGCAATAATCATTTTAAATTTTTTTTAAAATAATAATAATTTGCTCACATAATCCTCGACATTTGTGAAACACTGCTGTGCACAATTGGCTGCCGTGTTTCGCCCACAAAACATAAGTCAGTTCACTTTACAGTATATTCTGTGAAGCACTTTGAGACGTCTAGAAGACATGCTAAGGCGCTATATCAAATTCAAGGTTTATTACGTTATACGTCCGCTCTGAATCCATTGCCATCTACTCCGTTTAAGAATTGTCAACTGTCGCCAAATCAGTTTTGTTCCCCAGTCATGTTTAAATGCTTGTTTTAATGGTTGCAGGAAGGAGAGGCTGTCAGGCTCGGCAGAGAGTTTGAAAAACTCAAAGAGGACATTAACTCCCACATCATCAAAGTGAAATGGGCACAAAACAAGCTAAAAAGTGAAATGGATACCCACAAGGTTAGTGCCGATGTTTTCGTTTCAAATTTAGAGAAATTATCTTTTTTGTGTGTATGTCTGCCTCACTTTATTCCATCCCACTGAAGCATTATGTTTTGGTGCATACTATATATTAGAGGTTCACAGTTATACAACCACATCAAGATTTTCTCCCTCATCTGCCAGATTCACCGATATTTTAGCCAGTGTTCCACGAACAGTCGAGGATTATGTGAGCAAATTATTATTATTTTAAGGCTATTTTAAGTGACGATACCGAAAAAAGAAACAACAAGAGTCCCAGAGCCCTTGACAGTTGCGGAGTCTGACACTGAGCCAGGGGCAGAGAGAGAGGGGAGGTGACTGTAAGCACAATCAAAGAGAAAGGTCTTTAGGTGGGATTTGAAGGTGGGAAGGAAGGGTTCAAGGTGGAGGGATTGAGGGAGAGAGTTCTGGGAGAGTTTCGGGACGTAGTGGCAGAAGTCATGGCCACCGATGGTGGAGGGGACAAACAGGAGGCTGGAGCCAGCCAAGCGGAGGCAGCCGGTGGGGGGCTGGGGGTAAGCAAATTGGATAGGTAGGGAGGTGCGAGAGCATGAGGGGATTTGAAACCCAAGTAAGAGGATCTGGAAATAGAAATTCCACACAAGTTTATGGAAACTGGGATGTCAGCAGCAGTGAATAGGCTGCAAATGGACTCTGAGCGCTCCAAGACATTACCCGGTGAAGCGTGCTATTTCTTTATTAGGCATTCTTGTGAGTATTGCTCAATGCTTCAATTGAACGGTCTTGTGAAAAGTTAATTCATTTGGTTTAGATTGTAATTTAGGATTTGGCGTAGTATGGCATGGATGAGAAATTGCATTTCAAATTTGCTCAACTATCAGCAAACATTAAAAGTTAGCAGAATTGCCAGTAGTAAAGTTAAAGGCAATCATTTTAAAATACTCATTGTGTACTTTCCACACTTGCAAACAGGGCAAAATGATTGGACAGGAGAGAGACAGTGCAAAGTCTCTAAGTTCACGGCGGATTGAGGAGGTGTAAATGGAAAAAAGCAGCTTAGATGCAGCTCAAAATTAAGTTTTTTTTCCATCGGATAATTTCAGTGGCTAAGTTGGGTGTATTGAACAGAAAAAAAGCTTACAAGTAAAGTGCTTAGTTTGGTATTTGGGATGATGGTATCTACTACCCTCGTAGGCACACCATAAACTCTGAAGTGAACGTAGTGTAGTTAATTAGCTTCATTAAAATGAAACCTTTTATACATGAAACTGAAATTATTCTACAAATTAAAAAAAATCCCAAAGCTTGCCGCTGACACAAAATAAAGTTTGTAAACGCTAATAATCCTTCCATTTGATATAGCGCCTTATCACATCTTCGAGACATCTCAAAGCGCTTTGTATTATTAAACATTAGATATGGACGTGAAAAAGACTTTTAACAGCCTTTTTACAGTGCAACACCAACAACAAAATTACATTTATATAGTGCCTTTCACGTCGGGAGGACGTGCCAAGGTGCTGGTAAACAACGATGAGGGTGCAATTTACGCGCAATTGGCTGCCACATTTCACCTACAAAACAGTTGCTACACTTTACAGTATATTCTTTGAAGCGCTTTGAGATGTCTCGAAGACGTGATAAGGCACTATATCAAAAACAAGGATTATTATTATTGTAATGTCAAATCAACACATGCCAGGATTTTCTAATTGCTCACTTTTCCGTTTTCATTTGCAAATGTATTGATTTTTTGCATGTTAAATTGTGTTACATTGCCATTAGCGGGCATCGAAGGGTTATAAGTTTAAGTTTTTATTAAAGGTTCATTACTCCACTATTCAGAATTTAGAAGGTTATGATCTTCCTTCTGTTAAATTATAATTAGTGGAGGCAAAACGGGAGAAGTTCAACCTTTTGATATAACCTATTTAACTTCATGTATGTTCCACAGTCTACTTAAAGAGGATTCACATTATTATTTAAGCAATTATTTTCACTTTCTACTCCTCTACTCTCAGCTGTGTTCTTTGAAGCATTGTTTCTTTTTATTTTCATAACTTGGGTTTCTTAAGGACACCAAAGAAAAACTGAAGGAAACAACCAACAAACTAACTCAAGCTAAAGAAGAGACTGAACAAATCCGAAGAAACTGCCAGGAAATGATCAAAACATACCAGGTGAGTTAGGTTGTTGGGAAGTCGTAATGTTTGGTAAAATGATTGATAGAACAAAGTACCATTAAACTCATTAATTTTAACAGCTTTCAGTGAAAATGTCTGGGTTGCAGACATTTTTGCAATTAACAATTGGTTAACAAATCTGAGGTGAAGGTTTAGCCCTCAACAAAATGATTGCAGAACCAATTCTGTTTTCTTCCTTGGTTTGAGGTACTTTTGCTTAATTTTCATTGTTCTCACTGTGATGGTCCTTTGGTCAAGCAGTAAAAGTTGCTCCTTAAACTGTCAGTAACTAAGTGCCTCCTGACTAATAGGGAAATTATTTCCTCTGTTAGGGGAACCAGAACAAGGGGCATCATCTTAAAATTAGATGCAAAATACTGCAGATGCTGGAAATCTGCAATAAAAACAGAAGTCGCTGGAGTCAAGTTATCTGGAGTTTATTGTAATTTATTCCTGGTTAAATATAACAGAAGTATCGAAACTTGTTTGTTGTGTGGGATAGCTTATCTTGGGATCAATATTTTTTTGCATTGAAAATGGAAGCAATTACATAAGTACGATACCCAGAGAAAAGATCAGGTTTGTTCTCTGAATCCTTCACAAACTGTTGATCTTAGCTGAGCTGCCATGAGATTTGCGATTTTCCCACCACTTCAATTCCCAAGTGTTATGAAGGATATTGTGCTGTTATCCAGCTCCAGAACAGCTGCTACTCCCCTTCCCCCCTCCCCCCCCTCCTCCCCCAACACACACACTCGCTCTGTTTTCCTTAACATTTTCTCTGCCATGGAATTTTTTTTGTGACGTTCCATCTCCACATTAGTAATGTTTACTGCGTTCAAACATTGGCAAATTATTATTTATTCACAGGATTATTGCTGACATTGTATAGGCTTCCTCCGTTGGTTTTATTTTGTAGGTAGAATAAGTATTTCTCCATTAAAAGCATTAGGCTTCGGTGGCAAACTAACACCAACAGTTTGTGAAGGATTCCGAGAATGAAATTCACTGGACCATTGCTTTATTATTGCTCTTCACTTGCTTGGATGTTGCAGAACCTCCTGCAGGACATATTTTCCATTGGATAAATAAATTGGGAACACAGTGATTATATATAATGTATTTTCTTCTTTGGATATGGATTTGGTCTGTATATGGACATCAATTATGTTTTGATGCATTCTTGGAAAAGAAAACTTACCTGATGTATGGCCGGAGCTTTAGATAGTGTAGACTTAAAGGAAGGTATGATTATGATTGCAGAAATAATTAATTGTAATATGGATTGGTGATTAACTTCGCTTGCGAGTTTGCAGGTGGTGAGCGGAATGACCTAAACAGTCACGTCATAAAGCTTTATGCCAACCGCAATGCATTTGAAATAAAAGCTAATGAAAAGTTTTTTATTTCAAAAAGCCTCTGCTGTTTTAAATAACATCATTGACTGGAAATTTCTTCCAGTGGCCAAGATGTCAGCATTTGAGTGGAACTTTTGGAGCGGGTTTTTCCAGGAACTTGGCCTGATCAGTGCAGCAACAGCACCTGTCCAGAAATAATAGCTGTTGAATACATTCGCATTAAGCCACGCAGTTGTATGACGTGCAGAGTATTTATAGGAACACAAGGTGGCAGTATGTCACTGTTGCTACACTTTTTATTCTTAATTTTTAACTACATGCACATCAGGCGAAACCTTTATTGTGCAGTAAACTGATATTGTCTGTGACTGATTTGGGAAATCTAAACAAATTGGCCATAATTACTTCTTCGCCGGGCTCCTAGCTAATCTGTTGCAATGCTACGTGAAATGTGATTATAGACCTGCACTGAACGAATCTGTATCAGATTGATAAAGAGCTCACAGAAATAGCATTTTGCGTTCCTACCCTAAATGGAGAAGATACAAGTAATGTTTTTCCTTCTTTAAATTGGGGAGGAGAGGAAGAGAAATTAGTGGCTCTTTCAATACTGAAACTGTATTACAGTTAGTACATTTGTGCTCTCAAATATGGCACTTGGTCAAGGAGATTTATCGCTGACATCTTCGGTCTTGTTTAATTTCGGAATTAACGCCTGCAAAATCTGCTGTTGAAAGTATTGGCCCCAAACCAAGTGGTTGCTGCTGTCTTCTCCCATCAGCTCATTATGCTATACTTAGCCTCAATGTATCATTGTAATTTCTCCCATTTGGTCTATCTTGTCTGTCTTCACAGGAATCTGAAGAGATTAGATCCAATGAGTTGGATGCCAAATTGCGCGAGACCAAAGGCGAACTGGAGAAACACTTGCATGAAAAATCTGACCAAATGGAGGTGAGGTGCCTGCAGCAGAATAAACCAGACAGTCGTGGGAGTATCTATAAACAGAAGTGGTGGTTTCAAGGGCATCAGATTTTCTGTGGGTGTGAATTGCTTTGGGTCGCTTCCCCTGTTCAAATCTCTCCAGGCAATGGATGCCCTTTGAACTGTTGTAGCAACCCACAGTATTGCAAGATAGTCTGGTATGCCACAAGAGCACGTTGAAATGGTTCATTCGATTTTAAGGATCATCAGGGTCGTTCATTTCCCGGCCTGTAATATTGAAGAAGTATTACTTGTAAAGTAAAAGTTTTTTTTAAATTTTGGAACTAGTTTCCATTGCACTGATGGGTTATGCTGCAGCATTGAATTTATGAAATCGTAATGTTAATATCCATAGCTGTACATCTGTCAAAAGAAAGTGTTTGGTTGACAATAAAGCCTAGGTCTATTAAAAAATATAACATTATTACATTTTAACAGCTGAGTAATTCCTCCTTTTTAAAAAAAATTGAAACACTTACAAGGCTTTGGATTCTTAAATAGCTGCATTTTATTTCTGTTCATCTTTTTGATGAATTTTAAATTGTCAGAGTAACTTTTTCCTTAATTTGCAGTTGCGGCTTTTCAGTTTAATAGAGTACAATTTTTTGGCGTGGATGTAAAGGATGCACGTTAATTCAAGACGATTGCTGAAGTTATTTTGATTACCAGAGAGTTCAAATGGATAGCCACCCTACTGGCTTCCATTAGTAAATCTAGTTATTTCTCAAATGAGTCCAATCTTCTGGCCTCAACCATCTCTTGTCCTACACCTTTGAAGTATCTGAAAGTGTCATTTCGATTTTACTTTTTTTTTTACCTTTGTCTCTAAAATGTTTTACTTCAGAACTGGAGAACCCTGATATATCTTGTGGTTCATCATTGCTCATCTCTCTAGCAAGGGCTTGGCCTGGTTCCATTCCTTCGCACTTTCTCTAGGGTGTCTAGGTCCTGGCAACTGCCTTATGTCACAACCAGAACTGAGCAGTTCTCCAGATGTGGCATGACCAGAGCACTGTCCAATTTTGGAGAATTGAGAGTTCATTTGGCAGTGTAATAATAATATAATATTCTTTGCATTTGATACTACACCTTATCATGTCTTTGAGATTGGTCTCAAAGCACTTCACCGAATATACTGTAAAGTGAATTGACTGCATATTTTGTATAGGCATGGTAAGATACGTTCAGGATGGCTAAATTATGTTTACAGAACATTTGATAGAGAATAAGTGGAAAATCTTATATTTATATTCTTGACGATAACTTGACATGAATAGTTTTCAAAGAAAGATTTGCCAACAGTGCATTTTTCAAAAGCTGCATTTGATGCAATGAATTCAACTTGCAAAAATCAGAACTTAGCCCTCGATTTAAGACCAATTGCATGTGTTTTTTAATGCAGTAGATTTGCAGCTGGCCTGAAAAGTATTGTTTCATTTCAACAGATCCATCATGCCAAAATAAAGGAGCTCGATGACCTAAAGCGGACGTTCAAGGAAGGTATGGACGAATTGCACACGCTAAGAACTAAGGTGAGCTCTTTCATTTGGGTGTGTGATTTGTGTTTTGGAAATGAATAATAATCCTTGCATTTGATATAGCGCCTTATCACGTCTCGAGATGTCTCAAAGCGCTTCACAGAATATGCTGTAAAGTGAATCAGCAGTGTCCCATACACAGTGACCAAATTATTATTATAATTTTGGAGGAATTATTATCCCCAGAAAAGCGATCAGCCAATCGACTAACAACCGGGTTTCTTCTCACTGCTAGGTAAACAGAGGCGTGTGGAGTAAGGAAACTTGCCTTGCTAGCAATCAAACCGAGTTTCTCTTGCTTGCGAGGCGAGTGCTCTAACCGCTAAGCTACAGGACTCTTGTTTATCACAAGCTTGATAGTTATGTTCTGTTGTATACTAACTGCACTGTTTGTTTAAATTAGCTTTTTTTCTTGTCTAGCTAAACTTCACTGTGAACAAAAAGTTCAGCTTTCGTGGCATGACCATGTGTTGTATTCTCCCACAGGTGAAGTGTCTTGAGGACGAGCGTTTGAGAACTGAAGATGAACTGTCAAAGTACAAAGAAATCATTAACAGACAGAAAACAGAGTGTCAGACTTTGCAAGAGCGAGTGAAGACTGTTCACAATTTACAAGAACAGCTTGAAGGGTAAATATCAGTTTCTGTTCAATTAGGTGAGGTCACCTCTATGCATGCTTTTTTAAAAATAAATGTGAAATAGCGCCTTTCATTTTGGGAGGACGCCTCTCAAAATGCCTCACAGGATTTGCTGTAAAGTGCAGTGTCTTGTGTATTTTGTAGGCATAACGCAGCATCCAGGCTGCACATTGCAATGTAATTTTTACAGATATTACTAATAAATTTGCATTTGTATGAATAAATATGAATGTATTATGGTGATTTTCTAATACTTCAATTCGGTTAGTGGCAGCCTGCCTTAATGGCATAAACATTGCAACTCTTAACACATTGGCTATATTTCTTGAAGCAGCTAGATCTATAATTATTTAAATTTTTTTTGAGTAAAATTGTCATCCAGCAGGTTTGATTTCCAAGCCGTGTTTAATTAGCTAATCTCTTGGGGAGGTAAAAATAAGCCTTGAGCTTTGCTAGGGAGAAGAAAAAGTCAACCAGGTTCTTACTTCTAATTAATAAACAAAAGGCAAAATATTGCAGATGCTGGAAATCTGAAATAAAAACAGAAGTCGCTGGAAACGTGCAACAGGTCAGACAGCATTTCGAGTTCTGATGAGAGGTCACTGACCTGAAACTTTAACTCTCTTTCCTCTCCGTCGGTGCTGCCTGACCTACTGCACGTTCTCAGCGACTCCTGTTTTTATTTCTTACTTGTAATTGCCATCTTGTGACTCAGACTAGAAAGTGTGAGTGTATGTGTGTACATTGGATGAGAACAAGATCAGGATTGATTGTGATATCCTCTGTCACATAGCCTGCCAACAGTTGCTGTGTGGCCTGGCTGACGCATGAAAACGAGACGGTTAGGCCAGGTTAATGATTGCTGAGAGATGCTGGCATCGTATCCGACAAGTGTCGGAGCTTTTTAAGAGGGGAAAAGGAGACGATATTGGCAAAACAATTATTTGCGAAAACTGAAGGACGGATTGACATATACTGTTTGTTTTTCAAAGTGAACAAAATCTTGTGTTTTTCCTCCCAAGGAAAATGTGCATAATTACACATTTTTAATCCGGCCTGTCCATTACAAGGTTTCTGAGAAGTATTTCTGTTTTTTTAAGTTTACAAAAGTGAGCCCATAAAACCAAGGCACTTTGCGTGTTTCTTTGTAAGAACCCAATTCTTTCAATAATTCTTTGAAATAATTATTTTTCTCGTAGACATTTTTCCTTCTGTCTGATCATTTTGCGACAATCTGTTATCTGTTTGCCATGTTATCAATTATTTTCCATGAGCAAGTCTTGCTGCGTCTTTTTGTTTGGGATATTTTTTTTCTGTCAATTTGGGGCCGGCACAAAAATAAATTGTAACAAATGTTATTTATGTCCTAGGAATGAACAAGAGATTCAGTCACTGAAGGAAGAGGTTGATAATCTGAACACAGTCATTACCGATCTGCAGAAAGATATCGAGGGGAGTCGCAAAAAGGAATCTGAATTGCTTCTCTTCACAGAGAAACTGTCCAGCAAAAATGCCCATCTTCAGTCTGAGAACAACACACTGCAAGTACAGCTTGATAAACTGAGTATCCGTGAGCGGGAGCTAACTGGGGAGCTCAACGAGATGGGAGAAGCACATACTGAATTGGTAAGTCAATAAGGCAGTTATAAAGAGAATTTAAGATAATAGAATTTCAGGAGCCGAGCAAGGCTTCCAACAGAGCTGCTAAATGTTTTTTGGAATTGAGAAGGGTTGGCTATATTCAGCACACAATTGGCTTATTCACCATTCCTAATTATTGAACCAATAAACATAGAAACATGTTTCTTTGTTACTGCACACAAAGTATATTTGGCACCTAATATACTCCTATTTTTCCTGGCCTATGGTTGATTCTTTAGTGACCCAGTTAAAAAGCACACTTATTTCCAGTATTTTTGTCTCTTGACATTTTTTTGTCTGTTGATTTCTTATTCTTCCAACTGTTTGTTTGCACATATCTCAGCCATTTAAATTCCCATTTATTGCACACATCTCAGCCATTTAAAGGGTGCAGCTACTCATTGTTAATGGGACACTACGGGCATCATCCAGCGATCATTGTTCTTTTTAATGCACCAAGGTATTGTAAGCAAATTCTCCCAACACGTTTTAATCCAACAGATAAAGCAAAAGTAGGAGGCAGAGCAATAAATGAGATACAGTGAATGCAGTTTCGTAGGATTTGGGATCTTTATCTGGCTGTGCTAGATGCAGTCAGTAACAATTATAAAATAATTATTATGCATGAGCGAGGAACCAAAATAGAAAGTATATGTTAAAAAGGAAAGAATGTTCAGATGCTCATCAGAAAGCAATGGACGGGCTGTTGTAGCCAAGTCTTTGAAACTAATAGCTCAGTGCTTGGGAGCAAATAAGGCACTGATGAGATTCTACAAGGCACAGGAGGCTATTCTTCCTATTGTACAGGAGGACGTTTCAAAGCTCTTCACGGGATTTACTCTTATCTTGTAGGCAAATGGATGCATCTATTATTATTACTTTGATTTTAAAGTCTGACTCTTTTTCATTGGCAGAGGGGCAGAAAATAATCAAACAATACTATTGCTAGAATAAAAATCTTGTGAAGCGTTTTGGGACATTTTGACGATGTGTTATCAAAATCAAGGATTATTACTGTCACTATTTTTTCTAATGGAAACTTTCTAATCACAGGAATGATTATTATTGCCCTTAAGAGGTTACAGAAGTAAGCGTCCAAAATGATTCTAGATCTCAAGAATTTAGGCTATGAGGAAAGATTAAAGTCATTGGCCTATTTCCTTGGAAATGATGATTTTCAAGTGTCCTAATTGAAATATTCAGGAATTGGAATGAGAAAGTGAATACAGCTGCTGTTTCAAAGTGTCAAATCAATCAAACGGCTGAATTTGCCAAGGAACATAATTGAAAAACTGGAAGATTGGGAGTTTTTTTTAAAAGTTTGCGGACTTGTGGTAAATTACCAGGGAAGACCATTTAAATAGAGAGTAATTTCAATTGGCAGCTGTGTTTTGCCCTCACTACACTTTACAGTATCTCCTGTGAAGCGCTTTGAGACGTCTCAACAACGTGATAAGGCGTTGTATCAAATGCAAGTATTGTTATTATAAAGTGGTTCATTGCTAGAAAGGATTGAAGTTGAAAAGGTGAGTTGACTATCAGAAAAGGGAAGTCTTATTGGGCTTAATTACTTCTGTTCCTAAAAGTTCCTATATTCTTTTATATGTATAATTGGAATAGTTCCTAAAAAGGAGCTCCTGTAGCTTTGAGCAGGTTTGCCTTTGTTTTAGTGGCAGTCATGTGAAGAACAGAGATAAATATAGGATACCATCTTTGAACAGTTTGTGGGATCTAAGTTTTGCAATTGGAAACAGTAACTTACAGTCTTCTGTTTTCTCTCCAACCTTCACAACCTGATTGACTACCCACTATATATATATACACACACACACACAATTCAATACACAATATGTGTATACATATTTACTGTATATTCTGTGAAGCGCTTTGAGAAGTCTCGAAGATGTGATAAGGCATTATGTCAAATGCAAGGATTATTATAGTATTATTGAATTAAAAATTGAAAGTATTGAATTAAAAGTAATTTGCATTGGAATTAGTCCACTATCGTTTTCCTTTGAAAGCTTTGACGTTTTTGTGGAATGAAAATCCCATCAGAATACTGTGCTTTCATTCTAGCCTCAGCTTTCTGTCTCAAAGAAAGATATAGCCTACAACAAGACTTGGCTAATAGTTCTTTCTGTATTAAGATTGTTTTCATCAAAATAACAATGACATATTCTGGTATTTATGTTGAGGTCAGAATTTGTGCTTCGAGAAATACTTATAGGGTTCTATTTTTACAATTCACCCCACAGGATTAATCTTATTAGGAGAGTGCATTGCCTGAGTATAATCAGGAAAGGGTAGCTGTAGTAGTTTGAATTGTTTCTAAACTCCCAGAAACCACATCTGTATGGAAAGTGCAAGATTAAACACTGACAGATATGTGGCAGGTTTAATATAACTCGCACTTTATTGAAATTATGTAGAAAAATGATTTGCATTTGATCCTGTTTTTTTAAAATTTGCTTTGAAGTGTATTTGTTTAAAATATGGGTAACTAGGTCATGGGCTGGCTGTTTTCTTTTCTGCTATAACTCTGGTTGAATTGAATTTAGCCACGATTGATGGAGCGAAAGTTACATCTTTTAAATGGGCTTTTTTTTCCAATGATTGAAGGGATATTTACTTTGGCAGCCTTATTCGAATCCCTACGTAAAATACAGAGCTGCTTGAGATTCAGCACAATTTGGCACCTTTACTCAGGAGCTCCTAAGAGTGATGTGAAATTGAGACGCTTGTACGTTGCTGGGTTGTTTGGAAGGGGATCTTCACCCAATACCTCACCAGTTTCAGACCTAAACCAAGAACACCTGATCTGGAAATTGGGTGAAAAATATTATTTTCCATTGTACAGGGTGTCTTATCATGGTGATGAGCACACAAATTTTTGCAAAATAACAAAAATAATGCTTATATAACATTAACCTGCCCGTTTAGTTGCAATTAAGATTCCGATAAGAAATAAATTGATTACATTTAAGGCCCAGGTAATATTTGAATTAAAAGGTCAAATGTACCCTAACTTGTAGACCTCTGTATTTTTGGTCAGCTGGGTATCTTGATAAGTGAGAAACTCATTGCCATGATTGAAGATCAAAACCAGACAGAGTTCCACATGTGCATGCCACATATATATGGAAATTTCACTTCATCTGGAAAGGCACTCTCTCCCTGGAGGGATGCACCCTGCTTACCTAATTCTGGAAAATATTAGGTACAGATTGACAAGATTGGCTTGGGAACTGCAAAATATATTTTGGGATACTGCTCGAGTTCAGCGAGCCAAAGCCACGTAGCCTTCCTTTGTGATCCCTTTCTAGCATGATCCGCGTTGCTCTTCCAGCTCGGACCACTCTTCGTGTTAGGGGCTTTGTATTGCAGGGTTAACAGGAGCCAAGTGGGAAGAATCCTGGCCCTCGGTGACTGGACTGCTAAGATTGCAATATTAATAATGTTCTAATATTGAAATTTATTAAGATTAATGTAGCAGTATTTACTTTATGTGACCCAGTTACATAGATGGCTAAAAGTCGATGGAAAGTCCTGTCTATATGGGCTGACTGGTTTAATAAATTTTCAGCTGACATAGAAAATACCGACATTATTATTACAGAACGAAAACTAGTCAATCATCAGGATAGCTTTCCTGATGAAATAGTAGCTGTAAAACCGCTTAAAGATATACGTTTGTATAGTATAGGTTTCAGTTCTGATGCTCCTACAATTGAATAGTCTTCCGAAGTTCAATGCCCAGTTCTGCAAGTGATGAATGACCATTTGAATGAAATACCAAATGGTTCTTCAGACAATGATATCTTGGCCAATTCCATTCCTCTGGGACAGAAGAAGTGGAGTCCTGTAGCTCAGTGGTTAGAGCACTCACTTTGCAAGTGAGAGACCTGAGTTCAATTCCAGGCAGAGGGCGAAACCTCGGGCAAGTTTCCTTACTCCACACAGAGCCTAATAATAATCCCTCCAAAACCAAAAACAATAATAAATTGGTCATTTTCAATCTACGACTGTTTGTGGGACATTGCTGTGCGCAATTGGCTGCCACGTTCGCCCACAAATATACAGTCAATTCACTTTACAGTGTGTTCTGTGAAGCGCTTTGGGACGTCCTCCCGATGTGAAAAGCGCTATATCAAATGCAAGGATTATTATTATTATTATTATTAAGAAGAGAAAACAGGATGTGCCTGCTGCTGGCAGTTATAATTGTCCATGGTACCAAGGGCGGGGTTGATGGCATTCAAAACATAAGGCCACATCATTTTTACTTTTATTTCGCTTTCAGTTTTGTTTATAGAATCATAAAATATTACAGCACAAAAGGAGGCCATTTGGCCCATCATACCTGTGCCAGCTCTTTGGAAGAGCTACCCAATTAGTCCCAATTCCCCACTCTTTCCCCATATCCTTGGCAAATGTTTCCTCTTCAAGTACGTATCTAGTTCCCTTTTGAAAGTTGTTATTGCGTCTGTTTCCACCAGCCTTTCATTCCAGACCGTAACGACTTTCTGTAATAAAAAAAAGTCTCCTCATCTTCACCCTCTGAATTTTATGAAGATGAATGCTTACAGTCATGGAAGTGTGTAAAAGAAGCTCAATCAGCCTTGGCGATTTTGCTTTTCTTTTTATGCAGGTGAACAAATTGCAAAAAGAACAACAACTACGACAGCAGGATGTTAAAGCTTTGGAGAGTGAGGTGACCTCGAAACGGAAGGAAGTAAGTGAACTGACCTTGCAGGTGGATGAGCTTAAAGATGACCTGGTCACACAAAAACGAAAACAAGCAACTAACCTCAAGGATCTCACGAAACAGCTTCAGCAATGTAAGCATCAATCGTTCCTACATGGGTTTTCTGCATAACCGAACATTTATTTTAATCTGCTTCCGAATTTTCTAAACCCTTTGTGATTAAGATTTCAAAACGTCTCTTTGCAAGAGTACCATAATGCATTTGAAGGCTTTCTCCCTGAAAAGCGTTGATATTTAATTTTTTAAAAAATCTTTTTGTTAGCACGAAGGCGATTAGAGCAAATGGAAAACAGCAATTGTGACAGCAAAGAGGCTAGCAGCATGGGAAGTCGGTCAAGTTCATCAGGTAAACAAAAATGTAAATACCCATATTACTTCAATTTAAAATAGAAAATCACTTGGCATCTGTGTAGTAGGAAAGTTTAAATACAAATGTCCGTTTGGTCATTCACTTCATGGCTGATTGTTAGGGCATTGCTGTGCGCATATTGGCTGCCATCTTTGCCCACAAAAATACAGTCACTACACTTGACTGTGAAGCGCTTTGAGGTGCTCTCCTAACATGAACGCCGCTGCATTAAATGAAAGGGTTATCATTTTATTTGCTTTTCTCTGCATTTGCACAACCAATTCTAACTTGCAAACAGTCACCTTAACCTTTTTAACTAGCTTCAATTGCTTGCCAGCTGCTAATAGTGCTAACTGCTGATAGATGTTTGTTTCAAGATCCTGAACTAGTGAAGCATATTCTAATACAAGACTGAATTATACTGGATATTACATAGTTATGCTTCTCGGGTGAATGCAGATCAAAGTAATTGAATATTATAGCCCTAAAATCTTATGTCAAGTTAATACCTTGTGGAGTTCTGTAGCTCAGTGGTTAGAGTACTTGCCTCGCAAGCGAGAGGATCTGGGTTTGATTCCCTGGCAGGGCGAAACGTTGGGCAAGTTTCCTTACTCCCCATGCCTCTGTTTGCTTACCAATAGATGGAAGCCTGGTTGATAGTCAATTGGCGGATCGCTTTACCGGGGATAAAAATCCCTTCAGAAAATAATAATTTAGTCACTTAATCTACGATTGTTTGTGGGTCGTTGCTGTGCACAATTAGCTGCTGCCTTTCACCCACAAAATAACACAGTCAATTCACTTTACAGTATACTCTGTGAAGCGCTTTGAGACAGCTGGAAGGCGTGATCAGGCGCTGTATCAAATGCAAGGATTATTATTCACATTGAGCGAATGCGTGTTTCCTCTGGGAATTTATCTTGGCATTGCAATTCCAGGTTCTCTTGATGCCCGATGTAACAAGGAAGAGCGATCTCCGGAGAATGCAGGCTCTTCTGTGCAGGCTGACAGCTTCCCTGAGGTGGACAAGACCATTCTGATAGAACGTATTGTGCGGCTGCAAAAAGTTCATGCGCGTAAAAGTGAAAAAATTGAATTCATGGAGGATCATATCAAACAACTAGTGGAGGAAATTCGAAAGAAAACCAGGTGAGTTGATGGATTCTATGAAACCTTCTCTAATCTCTAATGCATCTAATTACCTCTTATGCTGTCTGCTTCAGTGACCTTTACTGATAACTTATACTACAAGTCTTATTCACAAGAGGTTTGGATGAAAGCCTTTTGGCCTATTTAATGTATCATATCTGATGCAAATCAGAGGCCTGAACTTCCCCCTCGTCACACCCAGTAAGATCTTTCTGTCTTACAATGGATGATCGCTGAAAATTTGCAAAATCTATCTTGTTCTTGTGACTTCCTTTGCATCATTCCAGAGAATTACATTTAAACTAAACATAATCAATACATAGAAGTGCTTGGATGGTTTTTCTGCTAAGAAAAGATGCAATCTGTAGTTTCTTCCATGTTAGCAAATAATTTCCAGTGATTCCTTATTTTGTAACTGTTTTAAAACTTTGAATTCCTGAGAAGCCTAAATGTGGATTGCAAATACAGTGTAGATTTTATATGCATATAACGTATTTTATATGCATGAGTAAAACAATTGATGTTCTCAAAATAAAGGTTGTGTCTGTTTAAGGCAGAAAAAAACTAAATTGTTCCAAACTTAATTAAAATCTTAATGAGAAAGAGAAGCTTTAAACCATAATCATTCCACTTTAATTTTTTGCTGAAAAATTAACATACAGAGAGAGTGAGCAACAGTATTATGAACAATGCTTCTCAGTTAATAAATTGGCAACTGTTTAATAAAAGATTGAGGAATCGCAAAAAAAATTGAATGTCCGGTGACCAACAGTCACAGTCACAGTCAGACTAACATAGTTAGATGCAGCTGAATTTTAAAAAAATGTGGTGAATTATCCTCCCAAAGTCAAATATGCTATAAAGATGTAGTTTTGTTGATTGTTGTTGTTTCAGTAACGGACAAAAACAATGTGTTTGAATATACACGGCTGAGATTTTAAATCCATGTCGCAAAAAAAGTCTTTGTTTACATTTTGCATAATTTTAAGGAAATGCTTTCTATCCTGTAGAATTATTCAGACTTATGTTCTGCGAGGAGGAATCTGGGGCCCTGTCATCAGAAGCATCTGATTTTAACAAGGTGCAGCTGAGCAAACTTGGAGGAATCATGGCTTCACTTTACACATCACACCCAGCAGACAGTGGGCTCACGCTAGAGCTCTCCTTGGAGATTAACAGGAAGTTGCAAGCTGTCCTAGAAGACACAATACTAAAGAATATTACCCTCAAGGTAAGTTGCAAGTGATGCTATACAATGTCCTGCTTACCGTGCTCCACCACTGTCCAGCTCTCTGGGACGCTGCCCAGTGTGAGGGGTGCTGTATAAATGCAAGAAAAATAAGGTAAATAGCCAACATTTTAACTCTGAGTTAGTAATCTATCTAAAAAAAATACCATTCTATTTTGCATCAATATTGAAAATAATACCAAATCTCTACTATAATGTCAGACAGCTCTTCCTTTAAGTTGTTTTGTTTGTGTTTTTTTAAAACAAAACTCTTATGTGAAGGAAAATTCAAGCAGGGTTTTAGTACCGCAAGTTACACACCGCCTGAAACATGTCCTGTGTAGAGAGAGTGAAAGTGAAGTCTGTTTATTCGTTAGATCAGGGTATTAAGGGTTTATGGTGCAAATACAGGTAATTGGACTTGAGGTACATATCAGCCCTGGTCTTATAGAATGGCGGAACAGGCTCGAGGGGCTGAATGGCCTCCTCCTGTTTCTAGGTTTCTAAGAATTTTCAAAAATTGGTGGAAACTGGTAGTTTTTTGAGGAAGACGATCACTTGGCATTTCCTGTGAAGGCGACAGGGTTCATGATGTATGAGTTTAAAACTGTCAAATAATGTCCCATCTCAAAATGTCGTTCAACAGTTTGCATGAAACGTGCATTTTACTTTGCTATCACTCATTCATGAAAGTTATCCTCATCCAGTGTTTATTTTGCTAGTCACTCCACTTGACAAACAATTGCCTGTGAAATATTTTGAGACATTTCAACCTAAGGAACTCTAAAAATACAAATTTCCTCTTGCCGTCCTACTTTACATACCTTTTGATTACTGCACATGAAAGTAATATTTGGTTAAACTAGCCAAGAAAACCTGGTATGCTCAAATGATACCCAAGCATTCCAAAGTCACTGGCACTGACCAGCCGCGGGTCAGGACTCTCCTTGGATTTTCAGATCGTGAAACTCAATCTGAAGTGCATCGCGCAGTTCAGCGTAGTTGTCGCTTCATTCGTCACGAGATAAAGCTACCAAATTGGCTTTAAATGCTTTGAATCCCAGTTTGACAATCAGCAGCATACTGGCCAAATTCTGACCTTGACCCTCTTTCTTCCCCCCCACTCCTCCCCGCACCCCAATCCTTCAACCCTAGATCTGCCCCTGCTTAGCAAGTGCCGCTGCTCCCACCTGTTAATACTTTATGTCTTGTTGGGCAGTGAAGACGAAAACGGTTTGCAAGCTGAGAGAAATCAGCCCCCGGGCCGTCAGTTAGACCACCCTGCTATACTATAAAGAGGAACAAAGATCGTTGGTGCTATTAATAATATACCATGTGATGAAAATGCATATTTATATTTTAGAATGCAGCCAATGTAAGGGGATTAGTCTTGGAAGTACGAAAGCTTATGAATCATTTCACACCGTGAATTGTCAATTCATTATCAAGCACTAGTGATGTGAGCTGTCATCTGCCTGAGCTGTTACCCTATGAAATCATATGAAGTGCAGTGAAACCCAGATATATTAAGTAGCATAGAAGTGTCCATGATTACATGCACACTTTACTCAGTTGCTCTGTGATTTTTTTTGTTGAACAATTGCCCATGATTTCAAATTTGGAAATATAAAGCTTTCTGTCTAATATCTCACACCTCAACCAAATCCACTTGCAGTAGAAAGGAAAAATGAAATAACATGGCTTGAACAAATGATGTCAGCATAATAATAATATTAATAATAATAATAATCCTTGCATTTGATATAGCGCTTTTCACGTCTGGAGGACGTCCCAAAGCGCTTCACAGAACACACTGTAAAGTGAATTGACTGTATATTTGTGAGCGAACGCGGCAGCCAATTGCGCACAGCAATGTCCCACAAACAGTCGTGGATTGAAAATGACCAACTTATTATTGTTTTTGGGTTTTTTTTGGAGGGATTATTATTAGGCTCTGTGTGGAGTAAGGAAACTTGCCCAAGGTTTCGCCCTCTGCCTGGGATTGAACTCAGGTCTCTCACTTGCAAAGCGAGTGCTCTAACCACTGGGCCTCAGGACTACAGCATAACACTGTATCATACCTATTTCGTTTCAGACATGGGTACTACATATAAACTCACTTCAGGATATGATTTGTGATCCTTGAAGAACTTAGAGGGACTGCATGAATTACGACTTGATTTCTTGGGGTTGACCATCCAAAGTTCCTCCTGCTTGAGACAATTTCTGCTACCTTTCAAATCTCCACCCAAGACCCAATCCTGTTTGTTTCCTTTATAATATAAATAATACCCAAATCATTCAGCTCACTAGTAGCTGTATTTTATTTTTGATTAGAGTAACAATTCATACTCTTATCAATTAGATCTGCAGATTCCCTCATTTCTTCACCTATAAATCCTGTTCCTTGAAATGTCTACCATGTCTATATAATACAAATTTACATTTATAGACTGATTTTAGTAAATTGTTTATCAATAGTTTAAAACTAGATTTTAGTTCTTTTCCGTTTTCATAGATTACTTGAATTATATATTGTTTTATATTGTTGTATGTTGCTTTAGTATTTAATTTTAATATTAATAACCTTTCTTTGTATCTGTTATCTATTTGGGGAACAAAATTGAGATGTAGAGTGCTACTGCAGTTAGCGTTAACTTACTAAACATTTATCAGAACAAAACCTCAAGGGAAACAGGAAACTGCCTCTGCAGCAAACGTGTGACTTGGGTTCTTTTGCTGACTGATAACTAACGTTCTGTTATCTCACTGTAAAACATGGTTCTGCGCACCGTGATATCCAGTTTTCTTGAAATTTTATTACGGATGTGTAGGCACATTTGTAAAAATTAACCCTTAGAAAGTAACACAATTTCTAAGTATTTTCCCCCCTCCCAGTCAGCACTCTCACTTGATCTTTTAAGCCAAAGTGGTACGGTTAACACTTCCTTTATGTATCTTGTGCATAAAATACTGTTGAGAAGTACAATTAAAATTTGATATACAGTATATAATTAGAGCCCTTACTAAAGGGTATACAAAGAAAATGCAGGTTAGTTATTAAAAATAACTATATAGCTTCAATAATGGTTCTTAAACTAGGGGGCGTCAACTCTGAGAACTCGTACGCCTGAAGAATTGAAGCTCATACTTGCTGCTTTTTTCAATTTTTTTCAATGTTATCTGGATGAGATGTTAAACCATTTTCCTGTCCAGGTGGACTTGAGAGATCTGGTGGCACTCAATGCTGTGAAGTGCTTTGGGATGTCCTCCCGACGAGAAAGGCTCTATACCAGATGCAAGGATTATTATTATAATTATTATTTCTACTTGCAATCCGAATCTGAATTAAAATCTGCAATGCTTTCTCTTTCATTAATCTATGACAAAAGTACTTTAATCCAAAGTAAAATATTTTTCTAGAATAATGCAAAAGTGCAATGGTGCACCATTAATTTTATAACTGCACCAAAACTCAAATTAATAGGAAATGTTGAGGGATTATTATACCCGGAAAGCGATTCGCCAGTTGACTAACAACCTGGTTCCTATTTACTGCTAGGTAAATAGAGGCATGTGGAGTAAGGAAATTTGCCTAAGGTTTTGCCCTGTCCGGGAATCGAACCTGTATTCCCAACAGCTGTTAAGATATCTGATCCAATGGAAGTTGTATTAAACAAATTAACAGCTGAAAATGAGCCATTTGACATGTTAATAATGGTTCTTTATTTCCCCTGTAACAAGAACTAAAGCCAAAAGACTTGACAAACCTCAGTATTACTGACAAGCTGGGGGTGAGAAGAGGAGAACTATGTGATTTGAGCAGGGAGAGAAGCTCCAGGGAACAGTGGAATAACTTGGCAGAGAGAAAGTCGCCTAATTGGGATCCTTTTGTTGAAGATTTTATATCAGAACAAAATACAAACCCTTACCACTGGGGAAAGACAGCAGACACTGATGCAGTTCCTTTAGATTTGCTGTGCTTTAAGGGACAATTGATTCTCAGGATAAAAGAAAAGTCATGGAGGAGAAAGAGCATTGTGTCCTAAGAAGCTCATCCTTTTCATCCCACCTGCTGAAAGGTTACGTTATTGAACTTTGATTGAATTTAAAAGGTGGTGTGTAATTAACTACCACCTCATGTGAAATACAGAGCCGCTATCATTTGTAGTTTGTAATTCATTTCTCTTCATTAGACTTCAAACAGTTTTGTTTAATCATACTGAGATTTGGCAAATCCCTTTGCTGTTGTACATGTAGTGAGAGAGTAACCAAACCATGTTAACATGGCAAATGGGTTATCTGTTTAATACAGGCTCCATTCTATTGGATGACTTAACTGCTGTTGGTAATGCAGTATTTGACACAGGTTTACTTATTCATTGTTTATCTGGATTATTTTGTACAAAAAATTGAGCCTGAGAAAGGTCGGATTCTATCCTACAGAAATGCCTTTTCTCTTAGCTTTTCCAAATCCATAGCACTTGAATTGGACAGTGATTACAATCCAGGTTTGTTGGGAGTTTTTTGTCATGTAAAGTTGCAAACAAAAATGTGTTTAGTGTTTTTTTTTAAAAAAAAACACTTCTTGAAAATGTCAAATTGTGAACACTTCACAATTGCGTGTGACAATGCATATCCATAATGCATTAACATTCAAGTCCAGTTTGGTTTGAGGAGTAGTGGCTTGAGGCCAGAGTTGTTTGAAACGCTGTCAATGTGATCATACCATCTGCAGCTGCTAAGACGGTTTGGCAAGAAAGCAATAATTTGCTATAGTTGCCACCCACTATGGAGTGCTATTTTCCATGTTTATTGCTGCTAGTAAGTTGAGCCGGGCAAGGGAATGTAAAATATAATAATACAATTTAAACAACTTAACAACTGGAAATAGCTCACATAGTCTTTCACAAGTCAGACTTGCTTCCTTACTCCTGAAGCAGCGTGCATAATAAATCTCCACTAAGCTACCAGGTGAATGTTTGTAGAGCAAGACCTTTGTATTTCAATGAAAGATTAAAGGATAAAGGAAATAATAGGCATAAAGCTTTTAACCTACAACAAGTAGGCAATTTACCGGAGCCCAAAATTGCTGTAAATGTTCTCTGGGGAAAACAGAGTGAATCATACAGAACAATCATCTGAGTAAACAAGCCATTTAAAACAAGACCATTAATGGGAGCTGATCCATTAAAATGCTTAGTGACACTAGCAGAATGAAAAGTACTTGTAGCTTTTAATCCCATTACAGGATATACTATAAAGTGTAGTGACTGTGTATTTTGTGGGCGAAAATCATTTAAGTTGCCAGTTGAAAATCCCCAGAAGTCCCATGGTACAATTGCATTATAGTCCCATATACTTCCCAAGAAGCCATCCGTGTGTAAAAATCCGTGAAGTATATGGGATAATATTCGATGCTGTGCTGAGAGGCACAGAGAGCACAGAATAGTTTATTTTAAAAAACCAAGCTCGTTCAGTTTTAAGACAATCCATCGCTGTCCCACCCACTGCCCCGAGACCCTACCCGTATGAAGGGAGCTCGCCCACAAAATATACGGTCAGTTCACTTTGCAGTGTATCCTGTAAAGTGCTTTGAGACGCTCAAAGGCGTGATTAGGCGCTGTGTCAAATGCAAGGATTGTTATTATATAAATCCAAATCGTTGTTGCCCAAATAGTAAAACCACCTACAAGGTGGTTGACCAAACCTACAACTTTATCCCCTGGTGTATCACATACACTGGGAGGCAAGATGTTAAATAACAAACAGTAGACCTATAGAGGTTGACTACCAACAGACCCAATATCAGATGGACTATGTAAAGAGCACTAATCACTGCCATAAATCACCAATAGAGGCAAGATTGTAGTTTTTCCAACATATCCCATATAAAATATCATCCTCAAATAAGTCAACCGGTCTACAGTTTGTTTTGCGTTCCCTAGCACATCTTCACAGGCACGAGTCCTTAAATATTCGATAAATCTAGAAACTTAAATGCCACACCCTGGTTTACTACAGGATATCACAGAAGCATCCTTGAGAACCAGGATAATAATAATAATAATCCTTGCATTTGATATAGTGCCTTATCACGTCTTTGTGACATCTCAAAGCGCTTCACAGACTATATTTTAAAGTGAATTGACTAGATTATATGGGCGAAACATGGCAGCCAATTGCACTCAGCAGTGTCCCACAAACAGTCGTGGATTGAGTGACCAAATTATTATTTATTTATTTTGAAGGGTTTATACCCCTGAAGAAGCAATCCACCAATCGGCTAACAACTGGGTTCCTACTTACTGCTATGTAAACACAGTCGGGTGGAATAAGGAAACTTGCCCAACGTTTCCCCCTGCCCGGGAATCCAACCCAGGTCCTCTTGCTTGCGAGGGCTCTAACCACTGAGCTATAGGCCTCCGCATGTTAGCTTTATGATTATATGACTCTGGACTGACGAATGTTCCACAACAAACAAAAGTGAAATATGTTTGCTTAGCAAGCTTAAAATCGACAATAAAAAAGTTGTATGTCATTTGGTACATTTTGTTGTGCAGTGATGTTAAACTAGCGTAGACCTCAAGTGACTGATACAGTTTATAATGTAATAATAATTTAAAAACAGAATTCACCAGAATCAGAGCGTAGTGACTGTGCCACAGCTCTTCATCACACTTGAGATACTGGAACTGCAATATTCTACAACACATGATGGTGCCAGCTGCAGTTACAACTATTGGAGCAATGTGGACACAGGATTTTTATTTGCCTATGAAATATGTTGTTCGTAACTTTTTCCCGAGTCCTTTTTTTTTGTACTGTCCTTTTTCTACCCCCATCCCACGAACCTAATGTGCCCAGTGTAAGTAAGCTGCACCAGAACACCTACACCTTATTCCCTGCAATAAGCTTCACGTAATTTTCATTTTCAGGAAAACTTGCAAACGCTGGGCACAGAAATAGAACGTCTGATCAAGCGCCAGCAGGAATTGGAGCAGCAGCTAAAGCAATGAACTAGCACAGTCGCTGGGCTCCAGCAGCTCATTGTGAATACAGTTAAACAGGTGGAGAGGAGGCAGAGGTCATTCATGACTTGGACGGATATGCCTCATCAGCACTGCACAAGGAGGTGAAGTCGCTTCTATCAACAAGCAGGTTTGGAGTTAAATTGTGCTGCAATTAAATGATTGGATGCAATTTTAATATCAACACTTCCAAGTTGTCGTACTCTTACCATTATCTGCAACAACAAACAATGACTGAAGGCTGCCACAGTCTGCGAAGGATTTCGATCAGTGGATTTTTTAATGAACTATTCTGCTGTGCTCTCTGTGCCTCTCAGCACAGCATCGAATATTGTGCGTTTTTACACACGGTTGGCTTCTCGTGAAGTATATGGGACTATAGTGCAATTGTACAATGGGAATTCTGGGGATTTTCAACTGACAACCTAAGTGATTTTCGCCCACAAACTACACAGTCACTCCACTTTACAGTATATCCTGTGATGCGCCTTGAAACGCCCTCCCAACGTGAAAGGCGCTATACCAAATGTAAGGTTTATTATTTTATTTGTAGCTCAACCAATTTATTGGTGAATTAAATTCATACAATGCTGATACAAATAAAGTGCAGCTCCATCTTGTCTGACAAATTTTGTTTATTTACCGTGGCACTAAACGATGTTAGACCTTTTTTTTTTCTCTGAGTGAATTTCTTGATCTCCATGACTTTGTATGATTTCCATTGAAGTCTGAATATATTTTGTCTAATATTGCGACCAAAATTGTGATGTATTTGATGGGTTTATCAAACACAAATCAATTATACCAAACATTACGGTATTTTGGTGAATGATTCTTACTGAAGCCCATTGGAGCCTATGTGCAAATGGTAACTATTGGAAATCCCATAATAGCAAATAATGATATTTGACAGTTACCAAGGGTGTGATACTCGCATTGAAACTAGTTCTTTGTAATATATTTGAGAGGAATGCCCAGATACGGTTTAGAAAGGAACTAAAGGTGGTGCCAGAAATGTGAATGCTGTAATTATTATTTAGTTCCCCCAATTACTGGCAAATACTTAGTACTGACCAGTGCATCAACCTGCGCCAGAATCCTCTGGCAGTTAATTAGTGGAGTGTCAGACTTGGTTAAATCAGCATTCTGATGCTATTTGCTATTTTGAGAGTGTCTGCTGTTATAAGAAAGTAAAATCCTAGCCCCCTACTAAACGTAATGGAAATGCACTTTAAGCTCAAATTTAATAGCTATCAAATAATTGAGTACATATGTATATTGTTAGGATTCCGACCATTTGATTTTATTTTTCCAATCCTTTTCAGTTCAAACATTATCTTCTTTCCTGTCCATTCGTTGTGTGTTGAATATTTGGTTAACTTGGTAGTTTAGTTTATTCTCAAACCTGATTTGTAAAATTTAATTTGTAGATATTTTTCTGTATAAAGAGAACATTTTTTAAAGTTTTAATCTATTATGTATATATGGCACATTGGATTAATAAATTACATTCTGTGTCTTGGTTTCCCGTTATGTATATTTGCTTATACCGTGATATCACTGCACCATCACTTTGTCATATGAGGAAATGGAAGTGGCACAAAACATAAAATGACTTCAAAAAACATATATACTTAACGCTTTTAACCGGTGCGAAAATGCGGTAGAACATTTTGATTTGAAGACCATCTTTTAATTGTTTTTATTGGATTACAGGATGGATCGCGGATCAAAAAGCATGCGATTTACATCAAAGCTTTGATTTCCTGTTGGATTTGATCTTGGCTTTTCTGTCGGGGTGTTTCCTTTCCACCTTAGAATTTGCTGATAAAGTGAGAAGCGTGTGAGGCAAATCCTTGATCGTTTCAGCAAAGGGTATTTTGCTCAACATGTTCTTGATTTTGTACGTTTTGTAAACTTTATCCTGTGTTAGGCTCTCATCAACAGAAATTCATAATGAATTAACTCCATTAAGTTCCTTAAAAATGGGAACCATTTTGTTTCAAAACACTGACACTTTCCACATACATTTCTGTTTAATAAGTATCATTTAATCTTATTGATTAATTGCCATTCTAGCAATTTATTAATGAACTAGACTCCCTTCCACTACCTGATTACTTTCCTAAATAGTCTTAATCTGCTCAATTTAGATCTCGTTTCCCTAATTACCCAACAAACATTCATTTACAGCACGCAATTACTGAAATAAAATGCACGCAGCCAACATATGAATCACGATGGGGGAGTCAACTGCTATAGATGTACTGTAGATCATATGACCTTTCCCATCTCACACCATTTTTTTGTACACAACTCATTTTAACGGCTGCTCCACATAAGAAAAATATCTTCCATCCCCGGTTTGTATGGCCCTTTCCTCCCAGTAATTCTTCCAAATGTGTTCAGTGCCTTCATTTATCTTTGCAAATCCCTTTTCCCAAGTTTTTCTTTTGTGTGAGTTTGCTATTTCTGTTCAGTTTCTCGTGCTGAATGGTTCATTTCCACCCAGGCCGAAAGAATATCGTCGATTGAAATTTCACCAGCTGCCTTGTTTGTGCTGTGATGTTGCTCGTCAGGAGCCATTTCTTAATCTTGGCTTGGGTTTTATCGCAGGACCTTTCCAGCAAAACACAGTGGCTGCGCACTGCACAATCTTTAGCCTTGGGTGGTCTGTTCCAGCTCTTGTGAGCAAGTGAAAAAACAGAACGTGACTGCTGTACGACAGAAAAAAAAAGAGACGAGCAGGAAAACAAACCCTAAATTCTTCCTCAATTTTCGTAAATGCTTTCCAATTCCCTCTTGAATTTTGCTGTAAAAATCCGACTCCTTGGGGAGTCTGGCTTAGTGGGTAGCACTTTTGCCTGAGTCAGAAGGTTGTGGGTGCAAGCCCCACATTGGAACTTTTGAACTCGCCTCGTCCAGGCTTACGAGACATTGCAGTGCTAGGGCTGCGCTGGGTTGTTTGTTAGAGGTGCCATCCTTCAGATGAAACTTCAAAGTCCTTTCTGGCTGTTCAAGCAATGTTAAAAGATCATATCGTACTATTTAAAAAGAGAAGGGAATTTCTCCGTGTCCGAGCCAACAATTCCACTGCTAAAATTGGTCATTTGCTTCATGCATGTTGAGGCATTATTGTACGCAAATTGACTTGCTGTGTTTGCCTAGAACATACACCATCACTATCTACACTTCACAGTAAATCCTGTGAAGTGCTCCGAGTTCTAACTTGAAAGGTCTTCTAAGAATTGCAAGGATTATTATTACAACTGAATAATTAACAATAGCAGCAAATTACGTTTGTATAGCGCCTTTCACGTCAGGAGGACATCCCAAGGCGCTGGAAATGTGAATTAAATATGAACTGGCTGTTCATCAAGCTGTAGAATATGATTGTTCTATGATTTGTTTATATAGCCTTTAGAATAATTGAACATATAGGTTATCAATGAGCACTTGGTTTCTGGTTCATCTTGGAAAGATCTGAGAAGCGCACACAGTCTTGGGACGGACAGAATTGAGTAGAGCAGAATTTGCCAATAGGTCATGAGATTTGGCAAGAGGCATCTGAACTCTGTGACTGACTCACGCCTTCAGCATTTAAACAATTCCCCCTTTATTTTCAGTATCAAATTGATCTGTCACTTAGTCCACCCGCTGATGAGGACCCTTGAGATCCTAGTCAGATCTTCCAGCCACAGGTTTTAGTTCCATTTAACATTGATCTGGACAACAAAGTTGCCTTTGCCTTCCTTTATTCTTTCCATCGTTGGCTAAAAAGGTTGTATCAATTTTGCTTTAAAGGTAAAGCCCTATTTAATGCACCCCTGGGGTTTTCTCGGGCGGTTTCCGATGAGGAATCCACATCTTTTAAATGTTAATCGTAACCACAGGAAGATCTTCAGTCGCTGCAGTGGTTGCACGGTTTTAAATCTGTTGCACATTGACGTGAAGCTCCGTGAGGGTGGAATTGAAAGTAGATTTAGTTACTGAATCATTCCGTCCACGGGATTTAGCTGCTCCCACAAGCCTGGTCCATCCTCTTGAGAACTGTTTGTTCCTGTTGGGTGGGTGCCATTGGCTGCCGCGTTTCGCCCACAAAATATTCAGTCAATTCACTTTACAGTATATCCTGTGAAGCGCTTTGAGACGTCTCGACGATGTGATAAGGCGCTAAATCAAATGCAAGGATTACTTTTGGGGATTTTATGTTTGTGTCAAAAGTAGTGCATGTGCTCTGTTTGCTGAGTCCAAGTATTACATGTGGTTTGCACGTGTTCCCACCTACTTTAGTGCATCTTGTCGCCATCTGAATCTTAGCAGCGTTGATAGAGACTTGATACGAGGCCAGGCAAGCAGGCAGTTGGGGAAAGAATGTAAGTTTACCCTTAAATTGCCTAAATATATTGTTTTGGAATCACATTAGACCCGATAGCAGGAATCTGAACTCTCTGCCCTTAAAGGCTGTGGATTATGGCTGAAACCATTCACATCTTCAAGACTGAGGTGGATAGATATTTGTTAGGTCAGGGGATCAAGGGATACGGGGCAAAGGCGGGTAATTCGAATTGAGGTACCGATCAGCCATGATCTTATGGAATGGCATAACAGGCTCGAGGGGCTGAATGGCCTCCTCCTGTTTCTATGTACGTGTGAAAGAGCCCAGAATTACAGGAAAGTCTCATCACTCTGAAATAATACTGTTTAATGTGAACAGAGAAACGGATGGAAAGTTGCAGCGTATAGAAAAGAACTGGACTCGGTTTTGAATACTCCTAAATTATTACGTGCGCTCTTCAAGGAGACAGTAGGGCAGTAGCTGTTAAGTGTCGGGAATGATCTTGGAACAGCGGATTTGATGTAAAAACTAGCATTGAGTTGTTTTTCTATTATTATGTGTACATTAAATAAAGCCGTCCACTAGGAGGCCCTGTCAGCCTTCAAGGACACACGGGATTGCTTGATCAAAGGAGGGTTTATTTAAGGAAGTGAGTTTGTTCTCTTGCTCTTTCTATCACCGTAGCTGAAAGCGAGTACATATATATTTATATTACTGTAACATGCGCCATAAATCACAGATTTATTTAAATATTTAAAGCAAATATTTTTTTTGTGGGGGGGGAGGGAAATTTCATTTCTGTCAAATAGTTTAAAAAAAAACGCTTATTAAAATTTACGCTGTTACTGATGATAGGTCTGTGCGCAATTGGCTGCCGCGTTTTGCCCACAAAATGTACAGTCACTACGCTCTGCGGTGTATCCTGTGAAGCGCTTTGAGACGTCTCGAAGATGTGATAATGCGCTGTGTCAAATGCGAGGATTATTATAAACAAAATGCAAAATACTGCAGATGCTGGAAATCTGAAACAAAAACATATCTCCACAGACGCGTCCTGACCTCCTGAGTGTTTTTTTGAGCCACTTCTGTTTTTGTTGAAACGGTTATTGTTACAGATCCCACTTTACTGCTTTGAAAAACACTATTTAAAGACACACCATTCAATTTTTTTAATGTCTAATTCATATTGCGTTCGATGCACAAGGTTTTTTTATGTTGTGGAAATGGAAACCGCTTACTTATGTTTTGTCATCTGTTTTTCTTTCTCTCCAGAAAAAAAAATAGACATTATCTCTGCTCCAGCAAAATGCAAAAGTAGGTTGGGTTGTCTATCTGCCTTGTGGGTCTGTGTATCTATCTTTTACCCACAAAATATACAGTAATGCATTTTACAGTATATCCTGTGAAGCGCTTTGAGACGTCTGGACGAGGTGATCAGACTCTGTATCAAATACAAGGATTATTATTATTAATATTATTATTGTTTTGCTGCTAATGAAATGAATGTAGAAACGCCACATCAACTGTTCTGCTATAAAAGGCCTTTTCGTGTGAAGTAACTGCAGTTATTTTAACGCTGTTATTTCTAAATCCGTTTTTACTTGACTTATACTCATAAATCCCTGAGGAATGTTGACATCTCCCAAACAGACAGTAAATTGAGTGTTGGGGGAGACACACACACTCAGCAAAGCTATTAAAGCTATTAAAGTGAGAGCTAAACACGTGCTGATTTCCTACTGAATAATTTTCCTTTGACTGAAAAATGTTTGCTATTTAAGAGGATGGCTACACCATGTCTCAGCCTCAGGCAGAAACCTTTTATATACAGAAAGAACCAGAAAGTCGTGTTAACTGCCCTGTTACCAGGACACAAAATAGCATTTCTTTTAAGACTTAATGGATCTGAGGATTTTTGGGGGTCAGTCTGTAACACTGTGACTGCGATTTTAAGAGAGTATTTGCATTGCCAAACGCCACTGCAAAACCTATGGAGTTGCCTTTGTCGGTTTCTGATCGTTTTCTTGTGTTTTTTTCCCTCTGGAGATACATCCAAAATTCCTGGTCTTTGCCCCCAAGAGAGCCCCAGATACCTCCAATTCCTCTGCAAATTGTTCTGTGTTTTTATATCATTTTTTAAAAAAACTCTCTATATATAGAGAGAGAGATTTGCAAATTGTTCTGTGTTTTAAATATATACACAGAGTGACCCAACGTGTGATACCATTACAATGTCTAATAAGTCTTAAAAATTATGTTTTTTTAAAGATAAAATGAGGTGAAAAATAAGCCCTTTTGGTCACCCTTAAATACATATAATATGTTTATATGTCTATATGTATTTATTTATTGCATCGTACGGTAAAGAAGGAACACAGAAAACCCGAATAAGAACTCTCTAAAAGTCAACGATGAGGTTAAAAAAAAGTAATTATGTATTTAGCAAAAAAGTTTCCACACAAACTAACACAACTGCGGTGAAACCCTATTTAATGGCGTTTAATTGATCAACAAAGAATCTCTTGAGTTAAGTAAATGTCTTATAAAGTGTGTGGAAATATATATATATATATATATATAAATAAAAGGGCAGAGAGACCGTCCACGTTTACAGCTCTTTGGTCAATCATTTCATACACTGGAGGTGTTTTGTTAACGTTTATTGCACATTATTACTAAACATCCACACATTTAGAATTGACTATAAATAATGATTTCAGAGCAATGCCAAAGTGGGGAGAGAACAAAAAAAAGTACACAGATGCACCTTTAGTTTCCTGTGAAATGAAGGGAGAAAAAAAACGTCTATTAACGATATCGTTGCAGTTGCAGTTGGTCGACAAATATTACAGTACAAAGAAGTGAAGTACAGCAACGAAAAATAAGTACATCCCTCACACAGAATAAATAGTCTCTGCACTCGAAGGCGTTCAGAGCAAATGGTTTCAATGCAACGAACACACACACAGCTGCAGCCTCACAGCCCTGTGATAAACTGCACTGGGAATATCCTCAGCTCTGCAATGAGCAAAACAGCTCCACAACTCGGGAGAATAGTCCAATTTAACACTTGTTGTGAGCAGAAAAAAAGGAGTCTAAAGCAGCAATAGCATTGGCCCGAGGCTGGGGGTTAAATTATATTTAAATAAGTAACAGATCCCTCAAGTCTTTCTCTCTCTCTCTCTCTGTGTGTGTGTGTGTCTGTCTTCAGTACAGTCAATGTCCAGGTCATCTGTCTTTTAATATAAAAATGTGACTTGTTTAATATAAACAAAAAAAAACATTAGGGGGAATAAAACGACACTAAATCGACTGTACACCCGACTGTACAGCAGCAGAGGCGACGGTTCCCCAAACCCCAGTCACAAGTGGGTGGAAAGGGTTTTGCTCTTTAACTGATCCATTTCTCGCAACACATTTTTTTTGGGGTTAAATTTACAAAATGCAGGAAAAAAAAAGGGATCACGCTGTTATATATATTTATATATATATTTGTATATACATATATTTTTATATACAGTGTTTATATAAAGTAAGGCATCGGTTATTATCTCCACGTGTAAAATATAATAGTACAATCCGCTGTTTTTTCTCTCTCTCTCTCTCTCTCTCTCTCTCTGGACTCTCGTTTTGTGCGGAAATTACAGTTTTGTCAATTCGGATTTTTATTTATACAAAAAAAACAAAAAAAGCTTAAAAATGCTGTACTTGTTTTCTTTTATATTTTTTATATAATTTTATATATATTATATGTAGATATGCGCGCGTGTGTGTGTGTATAAAAATATTTACACACACACACACACACACACACACACAGAGTGACCAAAAAGTCGTGATACTATTACAATGTCTAAAGTCTTTAAAAAGTGTTCTTTTTTAGATCCTCGGGTCGCTGAAAAATAGGACTTTTTGACCACCCGGTGTGTATGTATGTACATGTGTGTGTATATATATATATATGTGTGTGTGTGTGTATATACATATATATATATATCACAATACTCTACTTTTAAATAACAATTACTCAGAAATAATACCATAAAACGACTGTGCATCTACATTTTTCTCCCTTCCCCACTCTTCCTTTCCCCACAAATAAAAACCCATCTGTGTCTGAATATTGACGATTGTCCTTTTTTATATATATATATATATGTATATATATATAATTTAAAAAATGGGTTCTTCCTGGGTTATTCCAGTTGGTACAAAATCCATCTTAAATTATGGAATGTAATTCTAGAAAACAAGAAGCGTTGACTTTGAGTTTCCAGTCAAAGCAGTTTACAACTCGTACTATTAATACAGAGAACTTTATCATTATTATTAATAATAATAATAATAGCACTCCCTTCCCCTTTTCCCAGGGATCGGCTATCAATAAAAAAAAGCGAGACTGGTTTTGTAGGACAGAGGGAGAGAGTCTGAACATCTGAAATACTAATGTGTGAATCAACGTCTCAAACGATTTGGAGAACAACACAAACAAAGGGAAAGGTATGAAATGAACCTGAGAAGTGCACTTCCCAAACCGATGGCTCTCCTCCTTCTCTCGAGTCAGTGGGTGAGTGAGTTTCCACACCACAGAGTGTTATTTTGTGGGGGAACACATCCCCACACTCTGTGATACCAGTGACGGCTCTTGAACTTCAATCCCGTTTGGATCGTTGGAGAGAGAAGAAAAACGCTGAGTTTATAACTGCGATTCCTGGTGAGTCTCCTTCGCCTTCTCCATCCCCTTCTCCATCCCCTTCTCCATCCCCATCCCCTGCCCCATCCCCTGCCCCATCCCCACCCCCATCCCCTGCCCCATCCCCTGCCCCATCCCCACCCCCTGCCCCTCGCTGCTGCTCTGCAGAGCCATGTTCCAGTCTGACCACATCTCCAGGTTCCTCGGGTCCAGAGTGTTACCAAACATCCCAGAGCAACGCGAGAAGCCCCCGGAGTCCAGGTCCAGTCTGCTCCCTGGTCTCCTGGGGCAGAAGAGTAACCTCTTGAAGGCCTTCCTGAAGTCTGGGCTCCTGCAGTAAATGATGGGGTTGAAAGCCGAGTTGACATAACCCAACCAGTTGAGAAACAAGAAGAGTTTATCGTCGACTATCTCACTGCGGAAAGCCTTGGCCACGTTGACCAGGAAGAAGGGCAGCCAACACAGGGTGAAGGTGCCCATGATGATCCCCAGAGTCTTCAAGGCTTTCTGGTCCTTGATGGCTATGGTTTTGGAAGGTCTCCTCCGGGCAGACCTGCCGTTGGGGATGAAGTAACTGCTGTAGAACCTCCCCTCGCACTTGATGATCTTCTGCATCTGCTTCTTGGCCTCTTGGAAGACCCGCGCGTAGACAAAGATCATGATGAGCAGAGGCAGGTAGAAGGAGATGATGGACGAGGCCAAGGCGTAGGCTTTGTTGGTCAAGAAGTCGCAGCAACAGGGATCATTGTAGCACACAATGGCATCGGGGTTCTCGTCCCTCCACCAGTGCATCATGATGGGCAGGAAGGAGATGAGGGCCGAGATGGCCCACACCACACACACGATCCCTCTGGCCCTGGTCTTGGTCAACAGGTGTTGGTAGCGAAAGGGAGAGGTGATGGCGATGTAGCGGTCGATGGCGATGACACACAGGGTCTCGATACTGGCGGTCACACACAGGACATCCACTGAGGTCCAGAACTCGCAGAAGAACGAGCCGTAAAGCCAAGTGCCCCTGACCACCAGGGTGGCCCCGAAGGGGACCACCAGCAAACCCATGACCAGGTCGGCGCAAGCCAAGGACACGATGAACAGGTTGGTCAGTGTCTGCAGCCTCTGGTTCCTGGCGATGGCGAGGACCACCAGGAGATTGCCCACCACTATGATCAGCACAATCACAGCCATGATCACCCCCATCACTATCACCCACTGGTGCTCGGAGCTGCTCTGCTCGGGGCCGTTGGGACTTACCCCATTGGCAGAGTTGGCTGACACCAGGGTGGCTGACCTGTTGTTGTTGTTGTTGTGGTGGTGGTGGTGGCTGCTGCTGCTGCTGTTACAGTCCATTCCGTCTCCCATCCTGGGGAAAAAGCCCCCCCCAAAAAGATCATGGATCTCCTTGGCTTGTGCTGCTCTGCCCCCAGACCCCCTGCCCCCTCCTCCTGTCTCTCCTCATCCTAAAGTCCTTGTGCAGAGCCGACGAGCTCCAAACTTACTGAGATCCCAGAGACGCCCTCTCTCCCTGAGTCACTGTGAGGAGCATCCAATAAGCCGCTCAGTCCTACCCACTGCCTGACGCCACATCATTCAGCAAACCCTCCCTCCCTCCCTCCCTCCCCTCCCTGACAAGCTGTCAGCTCAACTGACTGGGTTTTTTTTTCTCTCTCTTGGTCTCCAGTCACTGAAGTCAGGGAATCCCAACCCCTCAGCTCCCGCCAACTGACCAAAGCCGCAGCCAAAGCCCGAACTAACCCCCCCGGCTCGGGTGGACCTAGCTGGACAAGCGGCGGGAAAGCTGGCCGGACAGAGCTCTCAATGGTCAAGCTACAACAACAACAACTTGTGTTTATATAGACCCACACCACCCTCACGCAGAGTAGCGTCCCAGAGCGTCACGAGTTTTTCAGTCGGTTAGGACTCCAGCAGTTACCCCAACGCACATTCTGAGCTTCCCCCCCCCCACCCCTCACTCCCCTCCCCCCACCTCGACTCCCCCCTCCCCACAAACCGTGGCTCTCGCCAACCTGTTTTCAGGAAATTCCAGTTTTACCCGGACCCTTAATTAACCCGACGCCGGCCGTTCCTTTCGCGAAAAACGTGACGTTGAAAATGACTCCAATGTGATTCGAACGCGAGTTTATTTATTCACGACGGGGGTGAAGTTCCTGTATCGATCCGTGCGATTGTATTCCGATCTTCACGACTGCCTGACTGACAGGCGCAGGCTCATTTGTACAGCGTTGGTCCGAAGCACGGATTGTCCGGCGCCTTAGGACGTCCTCCCGATGTGAAAGGCGCCGGACAAGTATAATGTCGTTGTCGTTGTTGCGTCAAAAAGCCTGAACTAATCAGAATGACGTCCGTCAGGCTCTCGCAGTTTCAGCGCAGAAAGAACCCGGTTGTTAGTGGGTTGGCGGATCGCTTTTCCGGGGGTAATATTCCCGTCAAATAAATAAATAAATGAATAAATAATTCGGTCACTCAATTGCTGCGTGCAATCGGCTGCAGCGGTTTGCCGGCAAAATCCACACTTTGCAGTATATTCTGTGAAGCGCTTTGAGACGTGTCAACAACGTGATAAGGCGCCGTGTCAGATGCGAGGATTTTTTTTGTTATGTTGCTAAATTTCAAAGTGCTTATGGTGACAGATAGTCAGGTGGGGAAAAAAAAAACAGGAACTCAACCGTTCAATATACAACACGTAGCAAATGGCTCCAGTCCATCCACTGGGAAAACATAAGGACTAATTGTACTCATTGTGAAAGCTTCAATGGAAACTCTTGGATTTACAGCAAAGAAAACATTCCAGATATCTTACTCTGGGCTAAAAGTCACAATTGTTGCTTACCCAGAATTGCGCTATTAACCATTTAGACTGTTGGTTCAGTAAATCATCCGAAGCATATATTTACCATGATTTGTCCAACAGTAATGTTAATGGAGATTGATACGAATACAGGCCTACGTTACACTGAAACAACATCGTTACTACAGCATCCCATTCCACTGGACCAAAAGACGTGTCAGGTTTGGGTTCGCTTCATAGCTTCCAGTTGAACCTCTCTACTTAACGGCAAAATAATGTAATTCTGGTTTCGTGGGAAAGTAGCTCACATTCAGAACAAAAACTAGATCAGGAATGCCACGACAATTGAGGCAATTGCACTTAGGCAAGCTGCGTATTTCTGTGCAGTTATAAGATAAAGGTTTTAGTTGTTAACCTATTAAATTGAAGTTGTTTTCCCCGTTAGATTGACATTTTTATTGCTTGTTAGGAAACAGAATGCTACTCTAATTTTTGTCCCGCACGTAAACTTTAAGACCCCCAGGTCAGGTGTAAATCTCCACTCGCTGAAGAGTAAAACTCTTGTCTATTCTGATTGAATAACAGGGTTGTGTCTCTGGATCTCAGCTGTTCAATGTTTCCATGGAGGAATAGTTTGTGCAAGGAAAACAATATCAAACATATGGCAACACTGAACTTCCCTCTGTGCAGCTCTAACGAGACCAATGTTCGAGAAGTTTAGGGAATCAATCATTAGGAGGCCAAGATAATCACAGTTCAACACCTTAATGAGCAGCAAATAGGTCTCCTGGCTCTTGTAAGAAACAAGCTGGTGGCCAATGCAGATGGTGCAGATATTGCTCAGGAGCTATCGTAAATGGTCTCACTTTGTTAACACTGTGTTCTTCATCCTTGTCAAAGAAGCACTGACCAGGAGGGCAACCGTAACAACAATAATAATAATAATAATCCTTGCATTTGATCACGTCTACGAGACGTCTCAAAGCGCTTCACAGAATATACGGTAAAGCGAATTGACTATATTTTGTGGGTGAAATGAGGCAGCCATTTGCACCGTAGCCATTTAATTTACACACCAGAGGAGATTAGAAGCCAGATCAACGCTGAGTTCAAAACCTGGCAGAAAAGCAGGAAACATTTTATGATGTGCAAACCTCTCGTCTAGATCCCCCCCCCCACCCACAAAGCAGAAACAGATGAAGGGTAACAAGAGCATAAAGTGGTTACGTCAGTAGAAGGAGCTGTGCAGGAATATTTGGGATGTTGGAGGCTTGGAAAGGAGATGACTGAGGCAGAAATGTGACAAGTTATCTATCTCCCTTCTATCATGTGAGCCACTGAACTACAACTGGAAGGAATTAATAAATTGCAATAACATTTGCTATCCCTCAAGATTATTTGTTTTAGGGATAACATTAATTGCAATTTGCAAATACTTGCACACAAGCAAGTTTTGACTTTGACAAATCATCGCGACCGAACCCTTCTGGATTGTGCATGAAGTACATTGCAGCCACAATTAGAGCAGAATCCACTTACTATTCATTAATCGTTGCATTTGATATAGTGCCTATAACATCATTCTTAAAGTGCTTTACAGGTAATTGCTCTCAAGTGTAGTGATTGCGTACTTGTAGGCAAACATTACTGTTGTCTCATGTGTTTGATATAACGTTTGCCATTTTAACACCTGAATTGAACTCATAGATTACATAATAATAATAATCCTTGCATTTGATGTTGTTATTATTCCCCTCTTAGCCCCACGTTCAGTGTGAAGTTTCCATTTTCTGGTTTGGTCTCGCTCACTGTTAGTACAATTTCTTTCTGCATTGTGAACAGGTTTTTGTGGTGTGCGTCCACATACTCGGAACAGAGTTAAAATGGCCTGGAATGTATTTCATGCACAATCATCCTCTGAATCTTGGCTGGATTTCAACCCAGACCCCAGCGGTAGACCCACTGTATCCTTCCCCCAAACTGATCGTGTTTAATTCTCTCTGTTTTCCAACTTCAGAAAGTCGCCAACCAAGGAAATAATGAACAAGAATTTCCATTTGCAATGTCTGGCCTCAATTACTTCAATCAAGTTTAAACATCCATGATTATTGATATAACCCTCCTTCCCTTGGTCCAGCTGTTTAAGATATTCATAATGTACCTTAACAACTACTATCCTCGCTCACTTAATGTATTTAATTAAAATATTTACTGTCCAGCTTATTCATACAACAACAATAAAATTGCATTTGTAAAGTGCCTTTCACGTTGGGTGGACGTCTCGACATGAATCGTAATGTTACCTTAACCCCCAAAAATATCTTGCATACATGTGGGATTACATCAGACTTTCCTTTTTGCTTATATAAAGAAACAATAACGCTGAGGCATTTGTCAGTTACTTTCAAGAGATTTCATATTAATAAAAAAAATCCTTACATTGCATCGCCTTATCACATTGGCAAAACGTCTCAAAGAACTTCACTGTAATGTAATAATAATAATAGTCCTTGCATTTGATACAGCGCCTGATTATGTCTTTGAGACGCCTCAAAGCGCTTCACAGAATATACCGTAAAATGTAGTATCTGTATATTTTGTGGCCGAACTGAGGTCATTTATTTTAATCGTGGCTTTGTAAGTGAAGAGATTTGTCGCAGATATCTGTTAGGACTTATGAGAGGAATGAGAATCTCTTCTATTCAGACACTACGTTTACAACCGTGACCCTCAACCTTTCCAGAGTATTTCAAAAGGCATAAACTTTCTGGTTTTATAGATAAGTTGTGCGATTGTGATGCGTTTGTTAAAGTGTGATATTGTATAGGGAACCTTCACTGAAAATGCAAACACGCAACCATCATAAAAAGATTCTTCTCATGTTACAAAACCTTACGCAAGATTGGCCCTGTTAAGTTTGCGGCAGTTATTATTTCCCTTCATTTTATTTTCCTGTCAGTTTATATCAGTGGCAGAATTGATCTCTCTCACTGGAATTCAGCCAGGAGGGATTCATGTTAACATGCATTTATTTATTTGTGCTGATTTCATAATGTTTTCAAACAACGCTCAATAGTCAAACATAGTTACAAGGAGAACAGCAATAATTTTGTTTTACGAGGGAACTTAGTTGGTTCTACTGCTCCAGCTTTATCAAGCACCAAGGTAAAAGCTGGTTAGAAAACTTAGGAAACAGAATAGCTGTTGTTATTTGCTCAGATACTAATCGGCGTTTACAATTCTTTCTCGAATCATGAAGATTTTCAAATCTGGAGGTGTATAGGATGACTTGTGTCGAGATTAAAATAAATGATCTCAGTTCCTACATAATCTTTTGTAAGTACGTATCTGAATATAAATTAGTGGAAAGGTACATCGATATAACAGGGCTTTACTAGTTCAGAAGAAGTAGTAGATGGTTGACGAGCTAGTTTTGCGAGACGGTTAAAAAGGGTATTTTCTAAATCTATGTTATTTGGGATTAAGCTACATCAAAGTTGATCTTGATTTTTTTAATCTTTGCATTTGATGACAGACATCAAAAGATCAGCACACAATCTCCTCCCTCAATTACACAATTGGCTGCCGCGTTTCGCCCACGTAACACACAGTCACTACACTTTACAGTATATCCTGTGAAGCGGTTTGAGACGTCTGGACGACGTGATAAGGCGCTGTATCAAATGTAAGGACTTATTATTATTATTACACGTAAACCATTCGCTGGCTGCTAGCAAACTACTCCAGGACCCTTTGTTGGTG